AAACATATCTTACATCCAAAACAAACATGACCTGAACTATAGTTACCAGGATAGAAAAACAATCTGATCTTTCCTATCACTGACATCAAAACAAAAAATCAACAGTCTTTAAAGTCCATGGACTTCACTAATCTTAATAGATCTCCTTAAAACCACCTGCACAACCAAAGACCAGAAAATCACATCTTCGAACTCCATTAAATTAGAGATCAGATACCAGATGAACAACCTAAGTCATACAGAATGCAAGTAGCACTGTAGAGAATCATTTTTGTTATATAGCCCTTGTCGTAAATTCATAAGGAGATCACACAAGGTTTCAAAAACAAATAACTCGAGTAAAATTCACTGAATTATTAGTAGGCTCTTATACTACTATTAATGGATCTTGTGAACCTAGTCTGATTATTCCAAGCATATATACCAATAGCTCAAAACATTTTTAAGGAGGTCTTCACTGATCAAGAATCTGGAGGGAGAAAGCATACGAGGAAGACACTGTCAGGTGCACTGGACATTGGCACCTAGAACCAAGTAGCATCGTCAATCCTAAAGTAGCTTCCCATGCAAAGCTTCGAGAACTTATATCCCAGTTAATACCATCCCAAGTAACCTTCTTCCTCTTAAGTAAAGGTCAATATTAGGAAATAAAGCAGAAAAACTTAAAAGGAAAACTCAGTTGCATTTCTCCTGTATGTTGTATTATGAATCCATATTCTTATTTCTCAACACTGTCTACAAAATACAATTTAAATGCCCACTGAAGAATTGAAGATATGTATAAATCCCATCATCCGCTTTCTTATATAGCTTCATATAACATCATCAACTTAGCCACCACATGATCAATTATTACAACCTACACACCCCTCACTTCCACCAACACAGAAAACGATTGCAAATATCAAACACATAAATCCAATCTCGTTGGTATTAAAAAAAATCCTAATCTTCTTACCTGGAACTAAGAATTGAAACCTTGTTTTCATTCCAACAAAATTAAATAATTATAAATAATAAAAAATCCCAGCTCACACATTCTTTAACTACTAAATACTCCAAAATACACACGAAAAATAAAAAGAATTCTTCCAAAATCAACAAAAACATGAACCCTATACACAAGCAAAAAAAAAAAAAAAAAAAAAAAAAAGAAAAAAAAAAAAGTGGGAGATAATGTGTACATGACGGGTACGCTGGCGGAGATCTCGGGCCAAAAGTTGTCGACCAAGTTGTTGAGGTTGGATAAAGCGTGGAGCTTGAGCAAGGGATGGGCCTCGTTCAGCATGGCTAGGAGCCCACAGGCCGAGCTCACCATAGTCGCCATAGCTGCACCAGCGAAGACTGCTTGAACAAGTTTCTACGCTTCGAATGGAGTTCCCTAGGATTTGGATTTGCCGTTTGCGAGACAACCAAAGAGTAGAATAATAAAGACAGTGTGCAGGTTGAGAGTTCTTTTTAGGCCTAATTGAATCGATCGTCTCTGTAATTTTCACTTTCGTGCTTGTAGATTTTTACTTTCACTTTCGCCTTGTAGATTAAAATCTGGGCTTTTTATCACAAATGGTAGTTGTGGTTAGGAAAATTATACGTGACACTACTGATACTTAATGTTACCTTTCACACGTCAAAATGGTCTCTCTCGTGACATATATATGGAGCCCACACATTCAATAAAGTCAGGTGATTTTAAATAAATATATAATATATTTAAAGTTGTGTGGATTCCATATATGTGTCACGTTATTAATTTAACAAAAAATTTGACGGAAGCTAACATGAGGGACTATTTTGATGTGTGGAGGGTAACTTGATCATTAGTGTCACAAAAAAATCTTAGGGACAAAAGGTGATAATTTTGCAAACCTTAAGGCCCATTTGTGATAAAAAGCCTATAATCTATTTGGATTGATAGGCCTCAAGTGCTCTAATTTCACAAACGTGCGGCCCATGTGAGGGCTTTTTGGTAGTGTTTCAAGGAAGAGTGCATGACAGGACCACCCCAAATTCCCTCTTGGAATCCATGACGAACCATGTGCCTGATCGACACTTGTTAAATGTCACGCCTACTTTATTAAAACGCAATTTCACCCTCATTTTAAAACAACCAAAGGGTTGGACTCTTGCCGAAAATTTGGCAGAGTCTTTCTTGTAATTGCAGTAATTCCCAATTTTAATACTTGTAGAAAAACAATCCAGAGCATTCCTAAATTTTCAGTATGCACAAAATAAGTCAAACACAATCTAACAACATTACTAATGGCATCAAGCCCCATTTTTCACTATTATAACCAATTTATTGACAAGCTTCATAACTTAACACGCAATAAACAATCCTGAAGTAAGTCTTAGACTAAATAAAAGCATATTAACCGTTTATGATAAAATAAACCATAATGTAAAGTGTTTTAACCTTGCGGTTGTACTTAGATTGCCTACATACTATTCTCAAGGGATCAACCCACACGTAATTCTTGATATAATAAATTGAAACATCTTAAATCCTATAAGTGATGAAAATTCAAGTTATACCTGTAAGAATTGAAAATTCCTACACATTTTTCTAAAACTAAATTGTATAAAATCAGCTGAAACTTAAACAACGACATTGATTACAAAACAATCATCAAACCATTACATATGTATAAAGAAATTAAATCATTACCAGGAAATCTAGAAAATTAGTAAAAAAAAACATTGGCCACTTGAAAACCCTTATATCAATATAAATGGGTTAAATCCAACCTGCTTCAATACTCCACAAGTAAGAACATACTCATGTCTTAAGACAACAATTGTGATTCGTATAAAATCCTTAAAACTTAGAAAATTCAAATCCATTGTCTCACAAATATGAAAATGCGTATAAAACCCTCACCAATAAGTACTCAAGAAAATTGGTCAACCTTGGCAAACAAAATGAATTGGGTGGCGGACACTATCCTAGCACCACCCGTGAAGAACAAATCAGCACGTGCAAGCAAATCCTAGCTACCGCACAAGAAGAACCCCCAAATGTTTGTGTGGGCACATCCTGGCAACCGGACTTGTACATAACACGTGCAGGAAACCACACGAGTCAAGCATCTTCGAAACACGTGTGAGCATGTCATACGCGCGTAGACTAAATTAAAGGCAACCGAGTAAGATAACCATATCTGTAAGCAACTCAATATCTGAAGCCAATTGGTCGTACACCTATGTAGACAAAATGAATAGGCATGCAATATCCTAGCACTGCACATTCTAGACATATCAACATGTGAAGCAAATCCTCACAATCACACATAAAGAACGCAGACATATTCTGTCAACCACACATGTCGAGCATCCCCGAAGCACGTGAAGGCATGTCGTATGTGCGTAGATTAATCCGAAGATAACTGAGCAAGATAACCATGTCTGAATACCACTAGCGAAAAAGTACTTGTGATGGGTTTGAAAACCGTTACCCAAAATTTTAAAACCAATCCAATCTTATATAAAAACCAGTCTACTCAAGCCATTCCCAAATCTGTAAACTTAACTTTTCAAAATCTTATCATAAAACCATTTCCTCAAATCTCATCCAACTGTACTCATGTAAACCCAGGCTACTTAAACCGTTTACAAACTCAAATTCAAACTCAAATACCCACAATATGGAACCAAACTACACCTCGAGCCAGAAAACCAAGTAAAGATTCAATAACTTGAAACCCCAAGCGTTTCGCAATAAAGATAACTAATACAATTTCGATAATCATAAAAATAAGCAAACATGCCTCGAAACCTCAATTAAAAACATATAAATCGAATAACAATCATAAATAAACCTTATAAAACATTCCAAAAACATTTCTACGAGATTCAAATCAAAATCTAGTTTAATCATGAATAAAATAATCAAATCCATGCCCTTGATATAAACCCATGCATCTGAATAGCATCACAAGTGATAAGCTCAAAAGCATTTCAATTGTTAAAAACCTTTAGAAAACAAAGGTCTACTTACAAACACACTTTAACCATTTAGTCTCGACCAAGTCAGTAGGACCTACCATCTAGTTCAAATGGGCTCGAGGGGCCTATGACCTTTGATTTCCAATTCGGAAGTTCCTAAAGGTCAACCATAGTCTACAAACTATGTCCAACAAGTTTGGTCACGATCCAACGGTCAAATAATCGTCGATCGCACGATTGGACCATGATTGACAAACTTAACCCAATAATCGTCAATATGAAATATCCAAAACTTTGATCCTAGATCCGGAAGTTCATACATGCTCCTGGCGATACGAGTAATGACATACCCAAAAATAGGATCCATCCAACGGTCGAATCATATCAAACCTTACAAACACCTAATAGGCGAAACTCCGTTCGTCGATCAAACGATGGAATCTCGCCAATTTGAGCATATCGTTGTGCTTGGAACAACTTGGGGATAATTATAGGTCAAAGTGGGTCGTCGCCAACAACGGTGGTTCAGGGGCATTTAGTAACGATTGGAAAAAAAAATTCAACCTCATCGAGATAGGCCTATACCAAAAGATTAAGCTCACTAAGAATAATTTTCTTACAAATTTTGATGGCAAAACCCACAATCGACACTAGCCACCCATATCATCAGTTAGAGCACGAGAAGTGGATGAAGAAGCATACCTGAATCAACTGAAATTGCCACCAAACTACTGTAATCATTGTCGAAAAGCTCGAAATTATACAATACTAACATATTACCAAGCGAAAATGTTAGATGGTTGTACAAACTAATCACAGAACACCAAATGTCCTAAGTGTAATAACCCAAACCTTAATTAATATTTAACTATTAAACTATTAAGAGGAAAGGACAATTTTGCCCTTGGACTAAGTTATTAAAGGAAAGTTGACTTTTTGAGCGGAGAAGAATTTGAAAATTTCACTTGCACCGTTGCATAGAGCGTGACGAAATGAGTCCGTAGACACGTAGTGGGCTCGAAACGGAGTTTTAACGAAGAAAATACGGTCAAAATACTTCAAGGGGCAAAATGGTAATTTTGAAAAGTCAGAATTTTTAAACCCCAATTCTCTCTCCCTTCTCCCCCAGTCTCTCCTCTCTCCCCGCAGCTCCCTTCCGTGCGTCCTCCCCCAGCCAAACCTCCATAGCCACCCAGGACCGGACCCGATTGCGCCGGCCAGCTTCCGCCGTCAACCTCAGCCCACCCCGACGCCTGCTGCGGTCCTGATTCCGCCGGAAAACCACGAAAACCGTCAGTTTTCGTTCGAAATTTCACGGCCGTTGATCTCCGTCATCCGGCCACCAAATCGGACGAGTGAGGTATGGTTTTCTAGCTATTTTCCATGCTCTAGCTGCTGGTTGGGTAGGATTCCAGAAATTTCAAGCGTAGATCGTTCGATTTTCGATTTAGGGTTCAGCCGGTTTTGAGAGTGCAATTCCGGCCATTTCCGGCCAGTTTTTGGGGTAGGTCCAAGAACAAAAGTGGTCCTAAGTTGGGTGTTTTACCTAAGTTAGGAGTTTGGGCCGGCGTTTTGGAGTTTTTCCGGCCGCCAGGAATTTATCAAGCCACCCACGCGCTGCCGGCGCGTGTGGCGGCGCGTGGGCAGTTTGGTGGAGACCACATTCAGTCCTAGAATGATCCTTGTGTTGTCACGAACGCGTAGGAATTCGCGGACGGATCTCGCATCTTGTGTGATTTCTGGGTTCAATAGTTTCCAACCGTTGGATCGCAATCATTTTCAGATATGTTAATCTAGACATTGCCAGGATCGTTTAGGGTTCGACGGATTGTGAATTGGAGTCCTGGATACTCCGAAATCGCGAACCCTAGGGTTAAGGCTTTAGGAACCGTTGATCGTGCGATTGTGACCAATCCAACCGTCCGATCGAGACCAGACTCACGGGACATGTGTCCTAGGTTCAAAGAGACGTTAATGTGGGCATAGGAATAACCTTAATGTGATGCACGCACTTCTAGGAGCCGGGGGTCAGGGTTTTTAATTTATTATTATACCAAGCAGATTTATTAATATAATATTATGGTATTTGAATCAGGCACCCGGGCACCAGTTGACCTGCAGGAGAGACCTTCAAAAGGCCCAGCGAGGTCGGACCAGCAATGAGTGGACTCTTTGTTTTCATAAATGATTTTAAGCAATTCAGTTACAATATTTGATCTTAAATAAGTTTTATTCAAAGATTAGTGTTTTATAAGTTGATATGTGTTTTTAAATATTTTGGTTTATATGCTGTTGAGTGAGATATCCTTTATGGATATAGGAAAAGGAGATTTTAGCTAAATATCAGATAAATGGCAGCAGAGTTCTAGATTTAACAGAAATTCAGTTATTTATCAGATATTTTAGGAATTTTATATTTTCTTAAGCCACCTTAGGTACCCAGAGATTAATATGTTGCTTTCGGATGACGATGTCCACGGACATCCAGGTTGCCTTTGGTAAATATGTTACCTTCAGATTTTATTGGTTGCCTTCGGTTTAGTCAGCATGCTTGACAGTTGCCCCACGAGTTCTATGGTACCCGGACTCGTGTGGAGCGAGCATGCGGATCAAGCTGACCAAGGCCCCCTGAATCCTGCGAGGTTGCGGCTCGGATTGACTTTGTCACTGAGACCTGCGAGGACATGTCACCAATGGTGATACGCGGAATTGACGGCATATCAGGAATTGACGGAAATAAAGGGGTACGCCTAGGTGGTAGTTTTAAACTGATTTCAGTGCTTTTAAGAGTTTAAAAGATGATCATGAGTATGATTGGCATATATTTATAAATATATGTGAGTGCTTTGATTTTAGTATGAATATAATGAAGAGAATGATTTAGTTTTGCATAACTGTTTTTTTACAGCAGGGTTAGTATGTTCTTATGTATTTTTTAAACTTTGTTTTTGGGTTCACTCACCTTTTTAATGTTTTGCGCCCCCGGGCAATAGACGTGCATTTGAGAGCCACCACAGGGCAGTTTCCACTTCCCGCTCTTCCTCAGTTTGTTGTAGGGTTCTTGATTCACAAGTTGTTCCTCTCTTTGTAAATTATTCGGTATAGTTGCTCTGATGTTGCCCTAGGACATAATTAACTGTTGGAATGTACTTATGTATGTATACTTGCAGTTGGTGTATATATTTAAGTGCTTGTTGATAGGTGTAAATTTTGGGAATGTTCGATTTACAGAGGAAACTATGCCGAATTTTCGGTAGAAGTCAATGCTAAATGGAAGTTTTTAACCAGAAGGGCAACCAGGTCAATTGTGCTTGGCACCTATTAGGTGTCGATCACGAACAGGGTTCGGCTCGGATTCCGAAGTGGAATTTGGGTCGGGTCCTGTCACTAAGAGCTATTAAAGAGATAGAAGGTTTTAGTACATGCAACGTTAGTGTCGTTAACTCCAAATTTTTTCCCTATACTTTTTATTTTCATGGGATCACAAAGAAACCCTAATACATAGGCTCATGTGCAACTTTATTGGAGTATGCAATATTATGAGAAAATGAGACTTCTTCATGTCAAAAGCTATGGATATTGGTAAATAACTATTTCTTATTTCATTTGTGTTATGTGTGTATTTTTTTTGCATGCCCTTTTTGTTGGTCGATTTCTGCAAGTTTTTTTTTATTTTTTTACATATATTGGAATAAATAAAAAATTGGGCAAAAAAGTGGGTTAAATCACAAATACAAAAGACTACACAAGATCAACCTGGGTATAGTCACACTTCTAGCATCAACATCAAGAACATCATAGAGAACAAAAAATGGTGAATCAAAAATATGAAGACCAAGAGCAAGTTTGTAACTCTTGTTAGCCAAAGCATCTGCATCACAATTTTGTTCACGATACACACGTGTAATCGAGAAACCACATACTTCTTGAAACTTTAATTTGCAACGATTTATAAGGCTAAAGAGAGAGGGTGAGTATGAACAGTAGGACTGGTTAAAAGATCTACAACGGAACTGGCATCACAATTAACCCCACAACTATCTAATCAACATCCCAAGTCAAGTTGAGGCCCCAAAAAATGCCTCATCATTCAGTGTTATGGATGGAACCAACACCTAGGTTCATAGAGAACCCCTTGAGCCAATGCAAAATTTCTTAATAAACCACCATCTCCAATATAATTAGTATCAGTTTTTCTACAACCATCAGTGTTTAGTTTACAGATACCAGACGTGGGAGCGCAATGTAGATGCACCAACCACTGGTTGGTTTGAATGGAAATAGGCTTACAAGATGTAACCTACTCCAAAGTGCAATGCATAATCAACTGCTGAGGCTCAAAAAACATAAACAAACCATGATCAAGGGCTACCTTACATCTTCATTTGCAAATAAACAGAGGTAAACAACAAACATCAAATACGACGACAACTCGTGGAACATATACCTATTGGATTTTAACAAATTTTAACATACCTATATAGGTAACTTGGAGCATCTACAATGGGCTCTGTGAACCACCTCTTTAGACAAATTTTATGTATGAACTGAAAAAATACAATTCCAACCATGCTCCATATACACCTCATAAAATAGAGAAACCTCTAGGAGCTTCTAAATATGATGAGAGAGAGAAATGACTCCTACTGGCTCCTTATAATTTAATACTTCTTTGTTTTATGTATATATTAATCATTTAATCAATGCTAACTATTTTTATAGAGATTGATCATTTATATAGAATAGAAATAAAAATTATAGCATTTATGACTCTCTAAACTAGAGAGTATGATTGAAGTTGAAATTTTATGGAGAGCTCCTAAAATAGCTTTTGTGTGTTTTTAGCTAAATTTGAACTAAAAAATAGAGAGCATGATTGTAGATGTTTTTAGGGTAATGTTGTCTGTGTCGGAACTTCTTTCCCACATATTTGCTTGATGCATAAAATATGCACACTACATTATTGTGTTAAGAAAATAAATACACTTTTGTATACTCTAATGTGAGAATAACATCTAAGTTGAGAAAAGAAAGTTAGTGGAAAACGTTAGGTTATTAGCATTGTTCTAATTCAACATATAAATTAAGACCTATAATTTGAGATGCTTTTATTTAAATTAGTTACTAGACTTGACTAGACCAAGTAAGCATGTATTTTATGTGAACCTCAGTTCAATAGAGGATTAGGTTGTATTGAATATTTGACTATTTCAAAATTGCTTTGACATAACCTTCTGTTTAGATGGAGGAAAATAACTCGAGATTTAGCTAAAAGTATGGAATTGAAGTGAAGAAATTGATATTTTCATTATTGGCAACTTAAATATGGAACCTATTAAATGACGCGCGGGAAAAATCGTGGAAATTTGGGATATAGATTCTCGAATTTAATTTCCACCAAAATAGTTGTCATTTCTCAATTTCTATTGAGCAGGAATTCATTTTCACTTTAATTTTTGTCATTTAAAAAATTACATAAATCCAAACATTAAAAATATTTATTGCCATAAATTTAAACCCCGGATATCTAAAATTCCTTTATTTAAAAATTCTATGCTATTTTCAATTACTTCATCTAAATGGAGGGTAAAAGAACTACCAAAGATGGTTTGATTTGATGGCTACATATGCCATGTGCGTGAAGAAGGGGAAGCTAAAGAGACTCTTTACGGTTTGGGCCTTTAATTTTTTGTAAGATTCTTCATTTATTACACCTTAAAAAAATATTTGGATATTAAAGGACGCAGTTGGGATTACGTTCTCATGACAAAAAGGAAGTTTTTAAAAAAAAAAAAAAAAAAAAAAAAAAAAAAAAAAAAAAAAAAAAAAAAAAATGAGAAAGAAAATAAAAAAAATAATAATTGATTATATTAAAAAAATGAAAACTACTTGTCATGTCAGACTTAATCTCATCCATTAATAATGGGCTAATCCAAAGGTGTCAAAACTGTGTAAAAAACTTAGTGTTGCGAGCCCCCAAAAAATATTTATGTATGCTTATGAAATGGAATACTTAGCAGCGTGTTGTAAGATATCGAACGGGAATACAATTTGAATTAATTAAAGAAATAGCAAGCACCTTATAGTATCCCTATATTGTAACTTGGAATGTAGAAAAGCACAAGAACTTCAACTGGTTAAAAATTCGTGTCTATAATGTGCTATAAAACTAAAGGGGAAAATTGTCGAGAGAAGTGGCTTGCTAAAGAGAAAGCTTCATAATGAAACTTATTCATTTCATCTTTAGTAGAGTTACTTATTTATAAGCTTACATAATGGGAGATTGAATAAGATTTACAGCATACATATAAATTAGAAGTAGTATTTACAAATACTTTGTGCATATTTTACACAACATTAAAAGGGTGGAAAAATATTATTTCTTGTCTTTTTTTTTTCTCTCTTTTTATACCACTTAAGAGTATTATCACACTCATCACAGTGTGATTAGTCGAGTGCTATCCCCATTTGTCCTCAAATGGAGTCGATACAAACACATTCCAATCCCTTGGATTCGACTCAACCCTAGTTGGGTCCACACTCTGGTTCCTTGAGAGAAGAAACAGCAAGTAAAAAGACTAAAAAGTCCACGTCCAAAGCCAAAACACCTTTCTTGAAAAAAAAAAAAAAAAAAAAAAAAAGAAAAAAAAGAGAGACAAAAGCCTACAACTTTCTCATTGCGAACCGCTGCTGTCTCCTCTCCTTAAATTTGCCAGAAAAAGCAAAACCCAAAAATACACAAACTCCAACCACAGCTCCCAAAAAATCTACCATATCCAATAAATAAGCAAACTTATATCTCCACGCGCCAAGGGCAACCCCCTGCCTCCATTTTCATCCACACGTGTATCCACGCGCCACACTTCGTCTGGGTCTTGAAACCCATAGTCACATTGAAGACGCCGTTACCTGTCCACAAAACGATGACGTTGCGGCTCTCTAGCCTTCCACGCACCGCGATCTCCCGACCTTACATGTTACTCTTCACGTAACGCGTACGTCTTCGTTACCCAATCAGCGTTGACTTCTCCGATAGCAACGATTTTCTGCCCATCCGACGGTCCAGAATGAAGGGAGAGTGAAAGCACACGAACAAGGAAGCAATCAATCAATCACTTCTGCTTTCCTTTCTTTATTTGGCGCAACATTGCTCAGGCAAGTGAACCAAAATAAGCAAAACAAAACAGAACAGAAAAAAAGAAAAAAAGTTAGTAATTCTGATTTTTATCTGTCCTTCAAGCATTCTCTCTCTCTCTCTCTTTCCTCTCACTCTCTCCCTCTGTCCAAAAATTTTGCAGCTAGAAAAAAAGAAGAAGAAGAAGAAAAAAAAAAAAAAAAAAACAAACTTATGCTAGCACAACTCGGGGTGTTATAAATGTTTTTTTTTAAAAATTTATAAGTTAGTATATTTTATTTTTATTTGTCCCTCTGTCTCCGTCTTTTTCCTCTCACCTCTCTTTCTCCAAAATATTGAAGCTTGCAAAAACCCTGAGCAGCAGCAGCAGCAGCAGAAGAGACAAAAACCCAAAAAGGAAAAAAAAAGTTACTTGGTAGCTAGCACAAGTTAGGGTATTATAATATTAAAAGATAAATATTATATATATGTACACACACACTATATATATATATAGTGGTGAATAGTTTGAGTTGAAAGCTAGCCAAAGCAGATGCAACGGGCAGCTGGCGGAAGCAGCAGTGGCGGCGGAGAAGTGAGTCGGGGAGGCGGGCTCGGCCGGTTCTGCTCGGCGCCGGCGACATGGTTAGAGGCACTGCTTGAGGAGGAAGAAGAAGACCCATTGAAGCCCACCCAGTGCCTAACTGAGCTTCTTGCTGAAAACACTGGAGCCACATCAGTAGGGTTTGGTTCTACGACAGTGGATCCAGTGTCGTATGAAGCTGCCGCCGCTGCTGGATTTCTTAGCCGACAGAACAGCTCTCCGGCGGAGTTTCTGGGGAGTTCGAACGACGGGTCGGAAGGGTATTTCTCGGGGTTTGGAATTCCGGCGCACCTCGACTTTGTGTCCTTGTCCCCAAATAGCTCTTCTCCTTCTGCTAATAAGAGGGTTCGGGAGGTGGTGAGTTTTCTCTAAATCTTGGGTTTTTTTAATTTAAAAGTTTTAAAAATATATATTAATTTTGTTAATAATTCATTAACTTGGTTGATTTAATTAATATTTGGTTTTGCATTTTCTTGGTAGAAATTGGAGGAAGGTGGATTGGAGGATGCAGTGCCTTGCAGGGTTAGGGCCAAGCGTGGTTGTGCTACGCATCCTAGGAGCATTGCCGAAAGGGTTTGGTTCCTAACTTAAATTGACCCCAAAAGAAAGAAAAAAAATTTCAATCAAAATTCATAGCCCAGTTCAACATATTTGATGTTTGTTATTTTCTAAGTTGTTTAGTTGCTTGCTCGGTTAATTATTATAGGTCCGGAGGACTCGAATCAGTGACCGCATAAGGAAGCTTCAAGACCTTGTGCCCAACATGGATAAGGTGCACCCTCCTGCTCCATTCTTCTTAACTCCAATTGAACTCCTTTTATTTAGGTATCCTTTTAGGGCATACGAATTTCTATACATTTTGATTCTTCTAGTCCGGCGGACATAGTTGAAACAACTATAGATGATTGTGAATAACAATTATTCAATAAATTAAGGCCTCTATGAGACACATATTACAGGATTAAATTAATACAAATTCAGAAATTATATGAGATAAATTAAGCAAATGCTTACAATATTATATGATCTTTTGATTCATTAAAACAAACGTTATGCCGAAATAGTACGGATTTTTAGAATCAGAACTGCATTTAGTTTCATCAGAGTTCCTTAAGGTCATGAGATATTATAATTTTTTTTTTGCCAAGAGATATTATAATTCATTTGACATCTTTCGGTTCTCTAAAACTTTGAAGTCATTATGTTAAGTACAATCAAGCTAACCCATATGTAACTGTTGGCATTAATCACAAAGTTAGGAGTTAATGAATTACGGTTAGTATCTTAGAGAGAATCTATCTATGATTAATCTAGGAGATTAATGCGAGTTCATGAACATATAATTATTGGATGAGTTATGAATATGAAAGGTTCATGGGAGTTAATGTAGCGTTATCTAATCATTACTAAGTGACTCCTATTAATACTTGTTTGTTTGTATCAAAGTATGCAATTATAGAAGAGAAGTTATCTAAGAAGAGTTTTATCAAGTATGTGTAGGAGCTCTGTGTAGCCTTTGGGCTTCACATCTCCAAGGCTACTTTATTAGTTTGCCTTTTATGTTGAATTCACATAAAACTCCGGCTTACACATTGAACACGATTTTATGCTTCTGCTGTTCGTATTTCTAAATCCAACAGTAACAAGTTACAACTTAATTTTACTGATGAAAATACTGAATCTCTTTAAATAAGAAAGTGACAGTCAATCCAAAAATAGAGTTTTGTTGTGCACAATAATTGTTGCAATAATGTTGATGTTGATAGCAATGGTTGTCTTGCTTCAAACTCTGTAGTAATCACTTCAATTTCTTAATGAAGAACTTGAGTGAATGAAATCCTTACAAGAGCAGCATTTGAGCATTTTCAATAGGGTAGAGGTTAGCAAAAGAATATTTATAAGTTGATGAACGCATAGTTGTCTGGGCCGTTGTTCACTCGATTATGGCAAAAATTATTTAGGGAGGCAAGGTTGAGTTGGGTGATTCCAAATTCATGTGTACTTCATATAACGATAGATATTGTGCCATTTTGTCGAAGGGAAAAGGCGAAAATGTTATGGAGCTGCTGCATTTTGACCCTTTTTTTGGAATGGAAAATGTGTTGAGGAGGTATCCTTCTGGCGGGAAAGAGTGTTGTTTATTGATGTCGCTACATCTGTGTTATGCATTTGCTATCTTGGTTTGAGCAGATAGCTGGGTGCTAAACACTTTTGTTGAGTCAGAGAACTGCTTGTCCCTGCTTGTCCCTGCTTGTCCAGTGCTATTGTACTTGTTTTCTTTCATGTTAATACAATTGTTTCTTTTCATATTAAAGAAAATTCTAACTTGAAATCCTGATAGTAATAAAAAGTCTGTTTTCACCAGTTTTTAATCCTAGAACTTGTAATCTTGATCTTTTGCACAAAGAACAGAAACTAGAAGATTTCTAGAACAACTTCAAAAGTTATAAGTAAAAGAATTTGTCTAAAATTTTCATGCATTTGCAAAATTAAGCAGACAATAACTTACTTTGTTTGTTATGGTGCTTGTATTGATTTTCGTTGCAGCAAACTAATACTGCTGATATGTTAGACGAGGCAGTGGAGTATGTGAAGTTTCTTCAGAAGCAGATTCAGGTATTATATACATTGACCTTGTTCAAGAAACTCTCTCAATATGTATGCTTCCTGAGGAGACTCATGGGAAAATTTGAAAGTAAAACTATGATATCCATTTTCGTAGTTCAATTTACAAAAGTTTTTCTTTGCTTGCTCCCCCTTTTGAAAAAGTAGTAGGCACTAAGAAGTATAACTGAGAAAGGAGGAGTTATAATCTTATTTGAATCAGATGTGATGCCTGTCTGTGGTGCATTACAAGGAAATTTATGTACATACTGAAAAATTTGGAACATCGCAGGAACTTTCAGAGCATCAGCGCAGATGCAAATGCATAGCTAAAGAATAACCAGAAGGTATCCAAAATGCGTTCTCCCCCTCCCAATTCCCTAGTACCGTTTAGTTTTTAGTGTAATTATTAGATTTATTATTTCAGCCAAGGTTCATCATGGTGCTGGTATGTTGATAATGGTTCCTAAGAGAATACCCTGTAATTTCGAGATATACTGTATTGTGTGTTGCATTCTTCTGCAATATTTAGATGTAATAGTGCCCATACCTAGAGTCCATGATTTTGCACTTAGCTGCTTCCACTTGGAAAAGTTCAATCAGTAAGATTGTGGTTTCCACTTCAAATGAAACAAAGTATTGTTGTAGTTGTAAACTAGTATGGAAAGATTATTATTTTTTATTTTTAGCATGCTTTGAATCAGCTTCCCCAATTATTAATTTGTGACGATGCACTGATGTGGATTTGAAAATTTCTATTCATAAAGTTTACTGTTTGCATAGCAAGGTGCTATATAATTAATAAAAAAATTTGTGGAATTTTCAGAGGTGTCATTAATTTCAGTTACCTTCTTGCATAGTGATATTGAGTTTCGATGTGTATGTTGTCTTGGCAATAGAGGAGGATTTCAGGTGAGAGATTATCGACTTGCGTATGCTTGATGATTGCTTTGAATAGAAATATAAAATGATTTGCTGGTTTCCTTATGCACCAGGTTTATATGTAGTAAATGTTAGAGCTTAGGAAATCATAGGGAAAAATCCTATCCTCAAATCCTTGCATTTGCAACCTCTAATGTGGAATGTGGGATCTCTATTGGGTAATGACGAGAGGCTGACACATGAGGGACAGAGTGTGGTAGAAAATAAGCTATTGATTTCTACTTCCTAATTGCATTGTTTTTGGGGGAGTGTGGAAACTAACAAAATTTTACAAATAATAAATGAAAGAAAGAATTCCATTATCTTTTTTCAATCAAAAGTTCTACCGAAATTTTCTCAATTTTCTTGTGTTGTTGTGCCTTCTGTTGAACGTGTATGCATGAATTGCACCTTTGTCTAGAAGCTTAACACAAGCTTAAAATCTTAGAGGGCATCAGTGTCAATTCTCGGATCAAATCCTACACCATACCTTATAACAGAAATTAATAAGTATTTGAGTTAGCCTGTTCATTATTCAATCTCAATTGCACTTAATTGTGGATTATAGTTTGAGAGTTTATCTAATTTCTGTTGTTCCTAACCTCTTTATTATCGTGATTTCGATTTTATCTGATTCGAGAACTCCATTTGCAATTAATTGTACATTTTCGAAATATGCTATCCGTGAAAAGCTTTGGTAAGTGAGGTTAATTTGAATTACATTAAATAAAATGTTCTATGTTTGCAGATTTTGTATCGTAATCTATTGGTTTCATCCATCCCAAGAGTTTCATTATGTTTGATTACAACATGTTCATGATCTACACAATCGTCAGAAGGGTGAGCATTTTTGCATTTCAGGTTCACCAATGCTTTAGTTTGAGCTGCACTGTCTTTAGGTTATTTTGTGTGAAACATATAATTTTGGAGCTTGATGATGATTTCTGCAAACTGCATCATGAAATTCCAGTGGTATTGTAATCTTTGTTGGATTTGTCAGTTGCTTTGAGACAGGGCTCCAGTACAAGATGAATGAATAACTTGTAAATGTGGCATTTCCCTGTCTGTTCTGATGGGTGTAATTGAAAAACAAAAAACAAGAGTAGATAAATAAATAAATAATAAAAGGATATCTTCCCTTGTGTAATTTCAACTTGAGTTTTGCGGAGAAGCTTCCTCGATAATATGAAACACGGCAGAGAGTTTTGGGAATGAAAACAAAAAAAATATAAAAAGGAATTAAGAATGCATCTGTAGGTCGAATGTTACGATCCGCTATCTCACATTGTAAAAATAACATATGTTGAGGTGGTTTATGAGCTTTTGGGCCTCACACCATTCGTATACGAGTCTAGTTTTACGACACATCTATTCTAAAACTTGGAAGAAGAGGGAAACTAAGTGCCAATGTTGGATTGACGAGGACATTGGTTAGGGTGGTAGAGTACATGAGTCCTGGTGCCTTTTTCTTACCAGCCAATTTTGTAGAGGCGAAGATTCCTGGTGCCTTTTTCTTTATATATAAAAAAAAGGTACTTCAATAACTATTTCAATAAAAAAATAGGTATTTCAATAACTATTTAAACAATTTATCTTTTATAAATAATTCAAATAATTTGAGTGTGATACACCATACCATATGAAAAATGTACGTATATTCTCTCTCCCCCTCGAAGGCGAAAGTACATAACAATAAGAGAAAAAGAAATTTAAACATCTTCGTTCAAATAAATATTTGGGAAAAAAAATTAATATTTGGGAAAAAAAATAAATCTATGTCACAATTCACAACACTGAAAGGCCTGCAATTCCCTGCCATATTGATTTTCACTGGGAAGCTTTCATAGCATGCAAGGTGAGGCTCTGCTTGTATGATGTGTATTCAGGAGCATCGGTACGAGGGTTAAAAAACTTTTGGAACCTTTCTGCGGAGCTAAAATGGCAGCTAATGTTAGCTTCCCTCTTCATCGAAGCTATAGACTGGTATTTGCCATAACTTGGTGTTCTTCTTTGGGTCATCGGTAAGACTGAGACCTGTGTCACCTTCTTTGAATGTGTTGATGAATGTTTTAGCACCCATCATGATTATCCTTTCAATCATGAACAACTGGTAGTTATTCTCAATCAAGGGCTCCAATATGTGGCTATAGTTTGATGAATAGGCCAACTTATATCTGCACAGATGGGTCAGACATAAGGATCAAGGTCAGCAGGGCCCCTGTTTTACAAATGTAACCTCTTGAGGTTGGCAAAATTATAATGACAGCACAATCCATGAAGTAGTTCAAACTAAAATAAAAGCCGTATTCATTGGGGTATGATATAAACTTGTATCAGTGTTGAATTGGATGCTCCTAGTTAAGAAATAGTAAAAGGAGGTGTGTTTGACAGCGCAAAAGTATACAACTCAAAGTTCACTTAAATTAAAATCTTAAGCATAATGACAGACAAAATATTAGACCAGCTCAGCAATCAATCATAGTGCACAGGAAGACGGTACACATTATTGATTCTATCATTAATGTTCAGAACTCCAGTATCAAAGAATTCAAAAGCTTATTAAAATGATTTTTAGTCCGACTACTTCAGTATTAACTAATCCAAAAGTTCCTGCCAAATTAGTTTTACTTGGAGAACCTAAATCCAGAACATCTTTTGCCAATGGTCAACCTGAATTTAGAATTCATAGCCACAACGTGAGAGCTATCCTATATCATGTTAGCATGACAAAATGAACACACAGGCTTTCATTTTCAATGCAGATGGTGCAGAGAACAGAACACGCCTGAGGACTTACCTGACTGAGAGAGGTGAAAAAAATCCTGGTGTCCTCTCATTTGAAGCAATAAAAAGAGTTCGTCCAGATGGGACCCATTTCTCAATTCTGCGAAGAATAAACTCTGGGTGTGTATCCCTGTCCACATGAGGATGCAGGGTCCTGTTAACGCCAAACCTGTCCTTCCTGGTCTTAATTATATCACCACGACGTACATGAATGGCATCATAATCTCCAAGGAGCGCCTTAATCTGTGAAAATTATTTGGTCAAAGTCTGTAATAGCAGATATGTACAGGAAATAATTCAAGAGAAAACAGAGGGGGCTATTACATGAATATACCTTAAACTCATTTTCAACAACAGCTCCAGTTTTAGTTATAATAGTGACTGACATGCTCTAACTTACTTGAATATGTTTATATATGACATGAATATACCTTAGACTCATGAGCACAATAAGCAAACAAGCTTTACACAACTTAAAGTATGGAATTAAAACTTACGGCATGTTTGGTTACTTGGAATGGGGGAAGTTAGCATAGAGGAGAAAAGGAATGGACATGGTATCAACTATTACCCCCTAATCAATTTAATTCCTGGTTTTTCAGAGGTATTGGATTAGAAATTTTAAAATGGAACCCACATAACTTTTGGTACCTTATGTGATAGTAAACACAATGGAAATCAAGAATCGGAATCATTCCAATACCCATGTGTGTAAAAATAAGGGAAGTCAGTAATTGGAAAAATTTCAATACCCATACCAATTAAGTAAACATCCATGACATTAGCGGGATTCACTATAATGCATACCTTGTCAGCTGCATTCCTCAACTTCTTTGCAGCCATCGAGGGGAGAAAGGTATATGGCAAAATTATAGCACTACGATTTTTTCGATCCTTGCACTCCATAAACCTATATAGCTGCCATTATGAATTCCTCAAACAACCAAAATCAATATTCTAATACTCATGCAACTTAACCAAGAGAGGCATATCATGGTTTATTTCTTAACTAAAAGAATTACACCAAGCGCAAATTTAAACAAACTTGAATGGAGACTTTCAAAACTTTCAACCAAGTGAAACTCTTATTCAATATCCTACAATCCAAATCCTCTCTTGGCTTTGAAATTAAGTTGTTTTTCAGCCAACAGACTCAGATGATTAATAAAATTAGAGGTATCAAGTAACGAGCAGTGTTTTGGAAGGCATTCTGAGGTGCACATCGATGCTAGCTATCGGTGAGATGCTGTAAGGTAAACACTCTGCAACTGCAGCAGTGCTAATGGGGCTGAGGCAGAACCCATGCAAAGAAGCCGAAAACCCAAATTACTTTTTTTTCCCCTCTCCTCTGGAAATGTTTTAAGGCTAATCAACGCCACGTTCTTAAGTTGTCTGGGTTCCTTTATGAAATGAACTGTTTCATTTAAGGCTGAGTTTATAGAACAAAACTCTGCAGGTTGGTTTTTAGCAAAATTGTTCCATTTTTATTTATTCCCTTTAGATCCCCAACAGTTTCTTCTTCCCAACAACCCAGCCCCAAATCAAATTTTCTAAACCATAATTCTCCTACCAAAGACACAAATCAGACTCCTAAAGTCCCAGCTCCAAACTTCACGCTCTCTCTAATTCTCTATTCTCTTTGGCATTCTCTTTCTAATTATTTTATATTAAATAGTTTTCTTTAATTAAAGAATTCATGTTGCCTCACCTTTGAAAACATTGGTAACAAGAGGTTATAGGTAGCTCAAGAAATTCCTAATTGCGTAAGTAATTAAAGATCTTTTTACAAAATCCCTAACAATATTATTAGTGCCACTGCAACAGGTATGATTCAAGTGAAGAAATATCTGCAAATTGGAATCTCTCTGAAAAAAGTTACCGTAATCAAATATCTCCCTTAACTTAATTTCTTTCAAAAATACATGCACAACTATTATCTCCAAGTCAAGTGAAACCACACCTTGAAACAAACAAGTAGGTTTTACCATCCCAAAGAAGCCAATCTTAAAGCTTTTAACAACAAAAGAAAATGAAATAGAAATTTACCATGCAAGAGGGCTTGCAGTTCTGTTTATGAGTAAAAGATTTGAAAAACTACTGTTCTCCCTGAGATCAACACGAGTACCTCCTTCCACATGGGCAGCTCCTCTACCTCCCAACTTCATACTTGTTGCCACCACTCGATACCACATTTTTGAATTGTCCAAAATTACTGGTACAGTGCCTGATATGAGGTCTATATCATACAACGAGTCCATGGAACAGGAGTTTGCTGTCCACCTAACAAATGAAAGGAAGTCCATTTTGTATAAAATGCGCATTCTGATCAACAAAAATGTATATACAAATAGGATATAAAGTAGGGAAGTTGGCATAGTTTTGCTAACACGTAGCAGTAAAACTACCCCACAGCCAAAAAGCATTCTCTTGAAACCAAATTAAGAAGTACAAACTTACCTTTCTTCTGAAACTGCATTATGTGAGTGATGAAGGATCTCATTATTATTGTGTACTGGGTTAATACACATTCTTGAAGGCATTACAAAAGTTCTGCAAACAGCAGCAGTAAATTACTAAACAAGATTATATAAAATTTACTCCATTGCAGTTCATAACAAGAAATCCAGAACTCCCTGATATAGAAAACAAGGCAACTAAATCTATCAAACCACAAAGGCATAGCTTGCAATCACACTAAGTTCATTGTGGGTGAGCAGATCTATAACGTGACAAACTTTCCAGTTTATGAAGGAAACCCAGAAGTTATATGACAGTTGGGTCATTTCAAAACCCATTTAACTGGTCCCTATGATATCAAATCTGAATTCTTCCACAATTCTCTGTTGTCCACATTTGCTCGGCAACCAATCATGACATAAACTCCAAAAACAGAAATCAGAAGAAGAAAAAAACTCAAAGAACATACCTCTGAAGGAACATAGCCTCTTCAAGAGCACACCTGAGGCTGGACTCCTGGTGGCCCAGACCCGCACAGGACTCGCAGTGCTTTCCAGGGCAATCAATTCTGTCACCCCAGTAGAGGTACTTCTCGTGGCCAGTTTGGTGGTTCTGGTTTATGTTCTTTAATTTGAGTCTGCTTTCGAGGGTTTTCAGAGAGGATAAAGAGAACTCACTAGTGGAAATGAGAGAGGAAACGAGAAAGAGGAGTGCAATGGCGGCTATGCAGATGACAAGGAAGATGATTGGGGAACCGGGTCCTGGTTTGGACTTTTGGGTTCTAGGAAAGGCCATTGTTCTTTGGGGTGGGCTACACCACCAAGCTAAACATTACCTTTTTCTTTTCTCAAGAATCTGGACTCCTGCATGCGTCTATCATGTGAGCTATAGAACTCTTCACTGTGAGATAACTAGTAACCAGCTCCCTTTACTAAAACGAAGGACAATAGCAGTTATTAGCCTGCACAGAGCAGTAAAGTATTAGAGGTGCTAAATAACGCAATTAGCATACAAACTAGAACAAAAATGAGGAAAGTAGCCAACACTATAACTTACAGCCAACGATATAACTTGTGCAAAACAGCCAACAATATAACTTGTGCAAAAAAACCAACAGCCAACACCAAATACCACAGCAAGGAAGTGCCTACATATAACTTGCAGGCTTTATCCAGGATTGACGTTTTTTGAATTGGTAAAATGCGAGTACGATCAAATCTAATTATAATCCAAATTTTGATAGAATCCTGACCAGCATTGTTAACTGAAAGCGAAATGAAAATAAAATTTATGTTCAAACAGCAGAACAAAAGATTCAAATCGAAATGCGGATCTGATCATATTTGATAAGTGGAAATTCTTATAAAAAATTAATCTTTTCTCTTTGACTCACCCTTTCTCCTCCCCTTCGAGCACAAAATTCCGCTTGTTCTCTCTCTCAGACCATGAAATTGGTAACCCAATAACTCCATTGAAAGCTCGTCAAGCAAGCCCACTAACTGAATCTCCCTCTCTCACATTTATTTTATTTCAAACCATTATGTTTGAACAGCAGTTAAGATTCGGTTAAAACAGCAACAACAAAAAATTGTCTTCGATTCATACCGCTATGTTCAGAGTAAAATTTCTAAATTATCAAATTTGTGGAAATTTAGAACAAAAAAGAATCAAGAAATACCTTTTGACAATTTGGAAGCAAATCAGCACAGCCTCTACGATTGGTCTTGGGTGGGAATTGTCCAACTGGAAGTGTTGAACTGTGCGAGTGTGAAAGATCGAAGAAGAAGAAAGGTGGGGTTGGGTGGGTAAAAATATGATTGAGGACCCCGGTTTTTTGGTCCGAATCAAGAACCCGTTTTAGGACTATTTGTGTAGGAAACACTTTTTCTCGTAAGAGTACCCGTTAAGCTCTATTTTTTTGGGGTCAATTCTCAATTTCTCAGTAGTTCTTTTGTGAGAAGTGTTTTTGTTAGGAGAACGCCGGAATTTTTGTTAAAATTCAAGTATATCCAGGAAAAGCACTTGAGAGAGTTTTCCTATTTCAATTTCAATTTCGATTCCTTATTCCCAAATTTTTATGTTTTCCGATTAATGACTTCTCATATTCCTTGTAAATAAATATAAAGAATCAAGATATCAACCACTCACATATCCTTACACTTTTTATATTTAAAAAAAAAGCGCAGAAATGAGCTTAGTCAAGTTAGAATCCTCCTTTCTGTAATTTAGATGATATTAAAATAGACTATCGTTTGTATTAAAAAAAAATATAAAAGGAAAAAGGACTTGGAAATATAAATGTCTAGCAATACTCATTAGCGCCCATAGAGAGATTATTCGAATAGTTGCTTCCCGCAATGGGGACTTTGGTGCGCTCAATGTTCGTGGTCACCCATCCCAATTTTCCAGATTTAATTGGTATATCTACCACTTTTCTCACTCTAGGCTAACATTATCCGCATTTAGGATCCAGTTTCTTGAAAACTAATGTGGTAGACGCACAATTATAAAGAGCTTACTCGGAGAGCAATTAATCAATGTATGACAACTTTCTTTCTTCCTTTTTTTAGTTTATCAGAATCAGGAATCATCTCATTCCTTCATCCCCTCTGATTCCTAACTTTGATCCCGAAAGGGACGAGCACATAAGCCAAGCCAGCCTACTGCATTTACAATGATGAGAAAAAAGGTATGTTCTAAATGTATTTATGTAAATAATGCATACCAATGCTAAATATAAAGGCTTGTGATCCCTTATGTTGACTACTTATCTAGTATAATTTTCATACATTTTTTTGGCACAACCAAATATCGGATGGGATCGAGAGCTCCTTGCAAAGCATGTTACAAATGATCAATTTTCTTGCAAAATAGTGTCTTGTTAGGTGCATAACATGTTCAAATCATATTAAGGTGTTTAAAAAAAAAACTACTATAGGAACAAGCACACATAACAAATGATGCATTTGATAACTCCAACAATACTCACATGGTTAACAATTAAAATGCTTAGTTGATATCGGTAAAAAAACAAAATGCGTAGTTCATAATGAAAATCTTACTCAACAATCTCCAATTTCATTGATATTATACATACAAGAAAAGACGGTTCAGATTATGATTATATAACAATGAAAATTTGTTAACCACAAGAAGGTGCACCCTTGGTAATTTGCTTATGCAATCCGGAACTTATATAATGCTATTAACAAAGTTGACCAAGTTTCTAGTGGATGAACCAGACTCACACCAAGCAGCCAAAGCCATCTCTCTCATTTTCCGGCTTCTTTCTCTAAGCTCTCTCCCTTTTTCCGACTCCATCAGCTCCCTAACCCTTCTCTCCAATTCATCCCCAAATACAAACCCATCTTCCTCTCTCTGCTCAACAGCAATCGCCATCTCCATTTCCTTCACCAAAACACTCCTATTCATGTGCTGCTCTGCATAGAGCGGCCACGCCACCATCGACACGCCGGCGATCACAGCTTCAAGCACCGAGTTCCAGCCACAATGCGTCACAAACCCGCCAACCGATTCCTTCTTCAACACCGCCACCTGCGGAGCCCATGACTTCACCACCAAGCCCCTATCTTTGGTCCTCTCCAAGAACCCTTCTGGCAACAAACCCTCCAAATCAAAGTCATGAACTCCATGGACCTGCTTGGTTTTCTCATCAAGGGGAGGATTCTTCACCACCCACAAAAACCTCTGCCCACTCTTCTCCAACCCATCTGCCATCTCCTTCAATTGAGCCCCTGAGAATGATCCCCAGCTTCCAAAACAGAGAAACACCACACTTCGACTTGGTTGTTTATCAAGCCATGACAAACAAACTTCCGCCTCAACGGCATCACTAGATTGTTTTTCTTCAGCAATCAATGGCCCAATGTAGAAGACTGGAGGAGTGGGAGCATCAGGAACACAAAGACCTCCAGCAATGGCTTTGAGGACTGCAGGAGGCTCCAGCTCTTCGAACGTGTTGGCTATGATCCCATTAGATTTGGGAAGGTGTGAGCAAAAGTAGAGCATGTCCCAATATGCAGGGTCGTCTCGATCAAGCATTGGCTCAGGCATGTGGGGGGCCTTGAGAGGAGACGTCAACCCGGGAAACTCGAAAACAGTGTCGGTTAGATCCTTGAAGCTCTTGGTGGTTTGTTCCATGATTTTGGGAAAATACAGAAAAGCCGCAAGAGTTGCAGCGCCAGAGGTGTAAAAGTAGTAGGTGGGAATGCCGAGTTCCTTCGCCATTGGCAGCGCAGAGGAGCAGAAGATGTCGATGATAAAAGCGCGAATGGCTGAAGATTTGGAGATCTCTTGGAGGGCATGGCGGATATGAGGATCATTCCGGCGGATGAAATCAAACATTATGGCAGCGCTGCTGCGGCCAATTAATAATGGATTTTCATTTTGAACTCGAGGGAATTGGCGGAAGGAGATGGAAGGATGGGCTAGGGAGATGCGGTGGATGTAGGCGGGGATGCTTGGAGTATCCACAACGCTGCCGCAGGTGTAGAGAATAGTGATGGAGAATTTTTCGGTGTAGCGATTGAGAATGAGCTTGCCTAGCTCAACCATGGAGATTATGTGCCCCATTCCTGGGGCTGCGTAGAGGACTATTGTGTCTTCTTCCATGGCTTTTGGTTGATTTGTGTTTGGCTTCTCTTCTCTGGTGAGGTTTTGAAATACTCTTCACGCAAAGTAGATGGAACGGAAATTCAACTCCATGAAAGTTAGCTGAAGCACTAGGGCACAGGCTCAGGCTGTACACCAAAACGACGATCGCAAATGTGACGTTGACAGTGATTGGCTGATTCTGACTATCAATAATAATAGAAGGATTTCTTCTTCCTTTTTGCCTTTGTTTTTCTTGTTTTCATTTCGATTTATGTTGGGGATATTTTTACACTGAGATTGGGATAAGATATTCTTTGGGCATGATGGAATTTTAGAGGTTCAAAATTATCTTTATTATTTAATCTTAAATTTATGCTTTTATTCATTTGGTGACTTATTATTCAAATAAAATATTCTAGAATATCACCAAGAATCATCGGTTATGGGAATTTTTAGTGTTTCAAAATTATCATATTATTCTAACAACAAAAATAACTATATTATTTAATCCGTATATATATATATATATTTTTGGGTAAAATTGAACTTGCATTAACAAAAACCAAAGAGAGGTCAAGATCCACCGATAAAACGAGAGAAAAGCTACAAAACCCAGCACAGCGCCAATGAAAGCATCACAAAGGAAGCGGGGGACAAGGCAACCCATCACGAGAGAGAATGAAGATCAGGGAGGTTGGGGGTCGAATGACCTAATCCGTATATTTATGTTTTTATTAATTTGGTAGTTTGTTATAAATTAATTATGCTTCAATATGCCAACGGGATCTACCTCAGTAGAAAATTACCTTAACTTGCAAATTAGTGGTGTCATGTTCAAACATCCATGACACATTTGTAGTGTTTGTGCGTGTGAGAAATCCCCCACCTTATCTTTGGCCCCCAAAAAAGAAAAAAACTTGAATATGGTTATTTATTTGACAAGAAACACATAATAACCAAATCAGCACCCAATTCATAAAGCAATCAAAATCTAGGAAGAAATTTGACAAGAAAAAGTTTGTTGAGGATCCATTTAATTAACCAATTCATGAAAATATCAATAACTCCAAATCACCCACCAAAACGACTTAGCAATTGCAGCTACATTTGCAACAGTACCAAAACAACATCTCCACGTGAGGTTGAGGAACCTACACAAACCCATCCCAACCTCTTGAAACCTACACAAAACCTTCCCGAGGTCCCAAAGATCCTCCCTTATTCCGCCAGGACCGGGTTTGGTTTCTTGTTTTTTTCTTAATTTTATTAGAAGGGTAAAATTTTGGGCTATTAGACTGTTAAAACTAAACTAATTTTATGGTAGTTGAGGTATCATGTTATAAGTCGTTTGATTATTACAACGACTAAGATGGAGTGAAATGCGGATAAATACGTGGATACTAAATAGAGGCTCCTAAAAATAAAACAATGAGTTATAATATTGAAGAATCCTGAGCCTCTGCATATAAGCTCCGTGCATTTACTCTCATTTTGGTTAATTTGAGCCACTAGATCTAATCACTTAATAGAAGACAAGTCATATTTTATTTCCCAAAATTTAAACACATTAGAGAGTGTTTCTTATTTCTCACTATAGGCCAACATTATCTAGGTTTAGGATCCAATTTCCTGAAAACTAATGTGGTAGACACACAATTATAAGGAGCTTACTCGGAGAGCAATTAATCAATGTGGGACAACTTTCTTTCTTCCTTTTTTTAGTTTTTAGTTTATCTGAATCAGGAATCATCCCATTCCTTCTTCCCCTATGATTCCTAACTTCGATCCCGAAATCGACGAGCACATAAGCCAAGCCAGCCTGCTGCATTTACAATGACGAGAAGATGGAGAATTATCATGTTACAAGTTGTCCACAACCAGACTCAAAGGTTACTTGACAATGACAATAGTTGTAATAGATAAATCATTCCGCCCAGATAAAGAAGGCAATGGAGTGGACCTTGTGTTAAGCTGTGTTATAAGGCAAGAATTCAGAAACTCTGCAGAAACTCTCATCCCCCTTTGTAGTTTAATTTATACTCACTTATTTTTTTCAAGTCTCAAATATGAAAAGAGCCCTCAAAAGGATGAAGAAGGATGAAGAAGGACAAAACCAAAGGGACATTTTGGAAAAAGCAAAAGGAGAGAGAAAAATTTTAAAAGAAGCAAAAATGGACAAAAATGCCCTTATTTATTTTTAGATTTCCTAAGGAATCCAATACATTTGCATGTTTTTGATTTGAAAGTTGAGCGGTTTTTTTGTCTTTTTTGAAAAAGCTTTGGCTTTTTCCAAAAGTGAAAATTTTTTTATGTCTAAAACCTAAAAAACCTTAACAAAAAATAAGGCCGAAAAAGGTATGTTCTAAATGTATCTACGTAAATAATGCATACCAGGGCTAAATATAAAGGCTTGTGATCCCTTATGTTGACTACTTATTCAGTATATTTTTCATACATTTTGTTGGCACAAGCATGGTACAAATTATCAATTTTATTGCAAAATAGTGTCTTGTTAGGTGCATAACATGTTCAAATCATATTAAGGTGTCAAAAAAAAAATTTATTATAGGAACAAGCACACATAACAAATGATGGATTTGATAACTCCAACAATACTCACATGGTTAACAATTAAAATGCATAGTTGATGTCTTGTTAGGTGCACCCTTGGTAATTTACTTATGCAATTCGGAACTTATGGAATGCTATTAACAAAGTTGACCAAGTTTCTAGTGGACGAACCAGACTCACACCAAGCAGCCAAAGCCATCTCTCCCATTTTCCTGCTCCTTTCTCTAAGCTCTCTCCCTTTTTCCGACTCCATCAGCTCCCTAACCCTTCTCTCCAGTTCATCCCCAAACACAAACCCATCTTCCTCTCTCTGCTCCACAGCAATCGCCATCTCCATTTCCTTCACCAAAACACTCCTATTCATGTGCTGCTCTGCATAGAGCGGCCACGCCACCATCGACACGCCGGCGATCACAGCTTCAAGCACCGAGTTCCAGCCACAATGCGTCACAAACCCGCCAACCGATTCCTTCTTCAACACCGCCACCTGCGGAGCCCATGACTTCACCACCAAGCCCCTATCTTTGGTCCTCTCCAAGAACCCTTCTGGCAACAAACCCTCCAAATCGAAGTCATGAACTCCATGGACCTGCTTGGTTTTCTCATCAAGGGGAGGATTCTTCACCACCCACAAAAACCTCTGCCCACTCCTCTCCAACCCATCTGCCATCTCCTTCAATTGAGCCCTTGAGAATGATCCCCTGCTTCCAAAACAGAGAAACACCACGCTTCGACTTGGCTGTTTATCAAGCCATGACAAACAAACTTCCGCCTCACCAGATTGTTTTTCTTCAGCAATCAATGGCCCAATGTAGAAGACGGGAGGAGTGGGAGCATCAGGAACACAAAGACCTCCAGCAATGGCTTTGAGGACTGCGGGAGGCTCCAGCTCTTCGAACGTGTTGGCTATGATCCCATTAGATTTGGGAAGGTGTGAGCAAAAGTAGAGCATGTCCCAATATGCAGGGTCGTCTCGGTCAAGCATTGGCTCGGGCATGTGGGAGGCCTTGAGAGGAGACTTCAACCCGGGAAACTCGAAAACAGTCTTGGTTAGATCCTTGAAGCTCTTGGTGGTTTGTTCCCCGATTTTCGGGAAATACAGAAAAGCCGCAAGTGCTGCAGCGCCAGAGGTGTAAAAGTAGTAGGTGGGAATGCCGAGTTCCTTCGCCATTGGCAGCGCAGAGGAGCAGAAGCCGTCGATGATAAAAGCACGAATGGCTGAAGATTTGGAGATCTCTTGGAGCGCAAGACGGACATGAGGATCATTCCGGCGGATGAAATCGAACAATATGGCAGCGCCGCTGCGGCCAATTAATAATGGATTTTCATTTTGAACGCGAGGGAATTGGCGGAAGGAGATGGAAGGATGGGCTAGGGAGATGCGGTGGATATAGGCGGGGATGCTTGGAGTATCCACAATGCTGCCGCAGGTGTAGAGAATGGTGATGGAGAATTTTTCGGGGTAGCGATTGAGAATGAGCTTGCCTAGCTCAACCATGGAGATTATGTGCCCCATTCCTGGAGCTGCGTAGAGTACTATTGTGTCTTCTTCCATGTCTTTTGGTTGATTTGTGTTTGGCTTCTCTTCTCTGGTGAAGTTTTGAAATTCTCTTCACGCAAAGTAGATGGGACGGAAATTCAACTCTGAGAAAGTTACGTGAAGCACTGAGATTGGGATAAGATATTCTTTGGGCATGTTGGAATTTTAGTGGTTCAAAATTATCTTTATTATTTAATCTTAAATTTATGCTTTTATTCATTTGGTGGCTTATTATTCAAATAAAATATTCTAGAATATCACCAAGAATCATCGGTTATGGGAATTTTTAGTGTTTCAAAATTATCATATTCTTCTAACAACAAAAATAACTATATTATTTAATGGGAGTTTCACTAAAACACCCAAAATGGGGGCTGAAATTATAAAAAAACCCAACACCCAAAACACTTTATAAATACACCCAAAACTCATCATTACACACACTCAAAACCCATTTATAAACACACCAAAAAAATATACAATTGTTGATTTTGGGGTTAATTTTGGGTGTGTTTCTATGTTTAAATAGTGTTTGAATTTTTTTATAAATACATGTCTAGGATTGGGTTTATTTATAAATTTCCGTATATTTATGTTTTTATTAATTTGGTTGTTTGTTATAAATTAATTATGCTTCAATATGCTAACGGGATTTAGCTCAGTAGAAAATTACCTTAACTTGCAAATTGGTGATATCATGTTCAAACACCCACGACACATTTGCAGTGTTTGTGTGTGTGAAAATTATTCCTAACTTTTGGCTCTAACAAAAAAAAAAAAAAAAAAAAACAAAACTAAAATAATGGTTATTTATTTTGACAAGAAACGCATAATAACCAAATCAGCACCCAATTCATAAAGCAATCAAAATCTAGGAAGAAATTTGACAAGAAAAAGTTTGTTGAAGATCCATTTAATTAACCAATTCATGAAAATATCAAAACTCCAAATCACCCACCAAAACGACTTAGCAATTGCAGCTACATTTGCAACAGTACCAAAAACAACACCTCCAAGTGAGGTTGAGGAACCTACACAAACCCATCCCAACCTCTTGGAACCTACACAAAACCTTCCCGAGGTCCCAAAGATCCTCCCTTATTCCGCCAGGACCGGGTTTGGTTTCTTGTTTTTATCTTAATTTTATTAGAAGGGTAAAATTGGAATATTAGACTGTTAAAACTAACTAATTTTATGGTAGTTGAGGTATCATGTTATAAGTCGTTTGATTATTACAACGACTAAGATGAAGTGAAATGCGTGTAGGGTTAATTGTTTTATTAGTTCCCCAACTTTGACCGGATTTGCATTTGAGTACTTCAATTTTCAAAATAGTTCCCATGGTGCTTTAACTTTAGTTTTGTTTAGACAACTAGTCACACCGTTACTTCTGTCAATTTTTTCGTTAAATTTAAGGGTAAATGGGTCTTTTTAGGTTGGTTTTATCATCCCCCTTATGCAACCGTTTTTATCAAAAATAGTCAAAATTTACCCCTTATTTTCATAAATGTCAGTTTAAAAAAAACTTACAAAAATAACAAAAAACTCACCTAAATATACTCAAATGCCCTCAAAAGTAAAACCCACGTAAACCTAAAAACATAAAACCTGCAATCTTTGTTTTCATTTGATTTCCAACATATAATCTCCCCTATGTTTCGATCAATGTTATATCATTGGAGGACTTGAACCATCAAGCTTCCCTACAGTGCCCCCAAGCCTATATATCTTTCACTGAGTTGCATAGCAATACAACTGCTGACACAAGTGTAAGTCATTTGAATCATGATCGCCAGTCACCATATGTTTGCTCAAAGGCCTATATTTGATGATGCGCTTCTAATTTCTTCTCGATGGTACCTTCCTGTTCCAATGATATAACATTGATCGAAACATAGGGGAGTTTACAGGTTGGAAATCATATTCATGGTTCAATCCTCCAATGATATAACATATTTTTATTTTTGAAATCAAATTGAAAACAGAGATGCAGGCTTTGCCTTTTAGATTGATGTGGGTTTTAGTTTTGATGGCATTTGAGTATTTTTAAGTGAGTTTTTTGCTATTTTTGAAAGTTTTTATAAAAATTGACATTTATGAAAGTAGCGGGTAACTTTTGGCTATTTTTGATAAAAACTCCTTATGCAACCTGCCTTCCTTATGAAATAGACTTGGAGAACTTGTCGCCAAAAACCTAAAGAACCAAAAATTGCAATCCGCTTCTGCAACTCGCATATTGGTTGAGTAAAATTGGAATCGTTCTCCAACAAATCTAGCAAAGAAAATCATTCAGTCCTCCCAGTAAAGTAGAGAGAGCACCAACCAACCAACCGCTGTTTAGTTTTCAAATTGAAATTACAGCAAATATATATAGAGATGATGATTGAGATGAACAACCTAGTGGTGGCGGGGCAAGTGTGTTTGACGAGTGCGAAGGTTGTTCCCAATCCGAACAAAGCAGCACTAGGAGGATGCCCTCGAAACCTTGTCAATGTCGTCAGCAAAGGCAAATTAGGTGGCAATATTTTCATTTCTTCACCACCACAATTAGTAGTAGCTGCAACCACACCAATTCCAATCCCAATCCTGAGAAGAAAAAGATTAATGGCTACTTTCATCCAACTCCAACGCTGACATGGCCAACAAAAATGAGATCTGCCCTTTTATTCCTTCTACCTCCTAGAGGTATACTAATCCACCATGCTTTAAATATATGAAGCAACTTCTTCCCTTGGCCGAGTCCCACAATCCCCTTACCACCCTCAAGCTCATCTTCAGAGTTGACTCTATCCGTTTTTGTGATACAAAGTTCGACACGGCCGTAATTTGGCTCCACTAGAACCACCCCAAGACTTCGTTCAACAGCTTTCTTGGATCCACGACGGCGTCGAAGGATCTGGTTATGTCCGTGGCTGTTTTCTTGGCGTGGTTCATGAGTCCTCTCGCGTAGTCACTGGTGTCGACGCCTTTCCTGGCCTAGTCGCCAACGCCGTCTGCCACTCCGATGGTCTAGGCATCATGGCAAATGAAGTGGGCGTCTTTGCCCAGGGGTTTTTCCTGGTTCTCTCAGAGAATCTAAAAGAGTAAAAGTCTTTTTTATTCCTCAAAACCAACCTGAAAAGACCCATCTACCCCTAAATTTAACGAAAAAATTGACAGAAGTAACGGTGGAACTAGTTGTCCAAATAAAACTAAAGGTAAAGGACTACGGGTACCATTTTTGAAATTGAGGTACTTAAATGCAAATCCGGTCAAAATTGAGAGACTAATAAAACGATTAACCCAATGCGGATAAATACGTGGATACTAAATAAAGGCTCCTAAAAATAAAACAATGAGTTAGAATATTGAAGAATCCCGAGCCTCTGCATACATATAAGCTCCATGCATTTACTTTCATTTCGGTTAATTTGAGCCACTAGATCTAATCACTTAACACAAGACAAGTCATATTTTATTTCCCAAAATTTAAACACGTCAGAAAGTGTTTTTTATTTCTCACTATAGGCCAACATTATCTGGTTTTAGGATCTAGTTTCTTGAAAACTAATGTGGTAGACACACAATTATAAGGAGCTTACTCGGGGAGCAATTAATCAATGTGGGACAACTTTCTTTCTTTTTTTAGTTTTTAGTTTATCCGAATCAGGAATCATCCCATTCCTTCTTCCACTCTGATTCCTAACTTTGATCCCGAAATCGATGAGCACATAAGCCAAGCCAGCTTGCTGCATTTACAATGACGAGAAGATGGAGAATTATCATGTTACAAGTTGTCCACAACCAGACTCAAATGTTACTTGAAAATGACAATAGTTGTAATATATAAATCGTTCCGCCCAAATAAAGAAGGCAGTGGAGTGGACCTTGTGTTAAGCTGTGTTCATAAGGCAAGAATTCAGAAACTCTCATCTCCTTTGTAGTTTAATTTAAACTATCACTTATTTTTTCCAAGTCTCAAATATGAAAAAAGCCCTCAAAAGGATGAAGAATGATGAAGAAGGACGAAACCAATAGGAAAAAAATAAGGCCAAAAAAGGTATGTTATAAATGTATTTATGTAAATAATGCATACCAAGGCTAAATATAAAGGCTCCCCTTATGTTGACTACTTATTTAGTATATTTTTCATACATTTTGTTGGCACAACCAAATCTTGGATGGGATCGAGAGCTCCTTGCAAAGCATGGTACAAATTATCAATTTTCTTGCAAAATAGTGTCTTGTTAGGTGCATAACATGTTCAAATCATAGTAAGGTGTTAAAAAAAAATTACTATAGGAGCAAGCACACATAACAAATGATGCATTTGATAACTCCAACAATACTAACATGGTTAACAATTAAACTGCATAGTTGATATCTGTAAAAATTCGTTAACCACGGTGGGTGTTAAGCTCCATGGTTAACATGTTATAAATGCATTTGGATAACTAAACAATCTCCAATTTCATTGATATTTTCATTGATATATACAGTGAAAATTTGTTAACCACGAGAAGGTGCACCCTTGGTAATTTACTTATGCAATCCGGAACTTATGTAATGCTATTGACAAAGTTGACCAAGTTTCTAGTGGATGAACCAGACTCACCCCAAGCAGCCAAAGCCATCTCTCCCATTTTCCTGCTCCTTTCTCTAAGCTCTCTCCCTTTTTCCGATTCCATCAGCTCCCTAACCCTTCTCTCCAATTCATCCCCAAATACAAACCCATCTTCCTCTCTCTGCTCCACAGCAATCGCCATCTCCATTTCCTTCACCAAAAAACTCCTATTCATGTGCTGCTCTGCATAGAGCGGCCACGCCACCATCGACACGCCGGCGATCACAGCTTCAAGCACCGAGTTCCAGCCACAATGCGTCACAAACCCGCCCACCGATTCCTTCTTCAACACCGCCACCTGCGGAGCCCATGACTTCACCACCAAGCCCCTATCTTTGGTCCTCTCCAAGAACCCTTCTGGCAACAAACCCTCCAAATCAAAGTCATGAACGCCATGGACCTGCTTTGTTGTCTCATCAAGGGGAGGATTCTTCACCACCCACAAAAACCTCTGCCCACTCTTCTCCAACCCATCTGCCATCTCCTTCAATTGAGCCCTTGAGAATGATCCCCTGCTTCCAAAACAGAGAAACACCACGCTTCGACTTGGCTGTTTATCAAGCCATGACAAACAAACTTCCGCCTCACCAGATTGTTTTTCTTCAGCAATCAATGGCCCAATGTAGAAGACGGGAGGAGTGGGAGCATCAGGAACACAAAGACCTCCAGCAATGGCTTTGAGGACTGCAGGAGGCTCCAGCTCTTCGAACGTGTTGGCTATGATCCCATTAGATTTGGGAAGGTGTGAGCAAAAGTAGAGCATGTCCCAATATGCAGGGTCGTCTCGGTCAAGCATTGGCTCAGGCATGTGGGAGGCCTTGAGAGGAGACTTCAACCCGGGAAACTCGAAAACAGTCTCAGTTAGATCCTTGAAGCTCTTGGTGGTTTGTTCCATGATTTTCGGGAAATACAGAAAAGCCGCAAGTGCCGCAGCGCCAGAGGTGTAAAAGTAGTAGGTGGGAATGTCGAGTTCCTTTGCTATTGGCAGCGCAGAGGAGCAGAAGATGTCGATGATAAAAGCGCGAATGGCTGAAGATTTGGAGATCTCTTGGAGGGCAAGGCGGACATGAGGATCATTCCGGCGGATGAAATCGAACATTATGGCAGCGCCGCTGCGGCCAATTAATAATGGATTTTCATTTTGAACGCGAGGGAATTGGCGGAAGGAGATGGAAGGATGGGCTTGGGAGATGCGGTGGATGTAGGCGGGGATGCTTGGAGTATCCACAACGCTGCCGCAAGTGTAGAGAATAGTGATGGAGAATTTTTTGGGGTAGCGATTGAGAATGAGCTTGCCTAGCTCAACCATGGAGATTATGTGCCCCATTCCTGGGGCTGCGTAGAGGACTATTGTGTCTTCTTCCATGGCTTTTGGTTGATTTGTGTTTGGCTTCTCTCCTCTGGTGAGGTTTTGAAATACTCTTCACGCAAGGTAGATGGAACGGAAATTCAACACTGTGAAAGTTAGGTGAAGCACGAGGGCACAGGCTGTACACCAAAACGACAATCGCAAATGTAACGTTGACAGTGATTGGCTGATTCTGACCATCAATAATAATAGAAGGATTTCTTCTTCCTTTTTGCTTTTGTTTTTCTTGTTTTCATTTTGTTTTTATTTTGGAGATTGGGACATATAATCATGATCATAAGAAAAAGGGGAAATGGTTTGTTTTTTTATTGGAATAAGATATTCTTTGGGCATGTAGGAATTTTAGTGTTTCGAAATTAGCTTTATTATTTAATCTTAAATTTATGCTTTTATTCATTTGGTGGTTTATTATTCAAATAAAATATTCTAGAGTATTACCAAGAATCATCGGTTGTTGGAATTTTTAGTGTTCCAAAATTAACATATTATGCCAACAACAAAAATAACTATATTATTTAATCCGTATATTTATGTTTTTATTCATTTGGTAGTTTGTTATGAATTAATTATGCTTCAATATGCCAATCCGGGTGTATTCAATTTGGATTTATACAAACTTTTAAAAAGTCTATAACAGTTTGGGTGTATTCAATCTAGACTTGCTTGAACTTTTAAAATGTTCATCTAAATGGGTGTATTCAATTAGGACTTGGAAAAAGTCCAAATAAGTTTACCTGTATTCAAAAGGAGATAGATTTGGAAGGATTTAATTAAGTGTTGGAGTTTGGAGAATTTGTAGGGTTTAGGTATAAATAATAAAGGCCAACATAAGTCTAACCTCCACCCCAAAGATTTCATACGATGTTTTTTTTTTCCCCCCTCTTAGGGCATGTTTACGTATCAGTAATGGAGAAACTAAGGAATCAGAGAATTTAGGAATCGGAGAACTACTGAATCGGTATGGGAAGAATCATTCCCATTAAGCTGTTTACTAAACATCTGGAATTAGCAATGGAATGGGATTGATTCCCATTGTTATTGTTTACTAATTTGCATGAATCAGAATTCAAATTAATTTTAGAATTATGGTAAAGTGATAAGGGTATTTTTGGAAGTTATTAAGAGAAAATAGGAATGGGAATCGTATCGACTACTCCCCCTAGTTGATCTGATTCCTAGTTTTGAGGGAATGTGATTACGGATTTTGAGGTGGGGCCCACTTATTTTTTCATTCCTGATTGCAAGTAAACGCAGGAGAAGTCAGGAATGGAAATCATTCCCTTTCCTCTCATTCCCATTACTGATACGTAAACATGCCCTTAGTGTTAAATTTTTTCCCCATCATTTGGCAAACAATGCACTGACCTTGGGTGGTTACAAGCATCCTGTATTAAGCAAAGCTCCTATATTAGTAATTTCTTCAACTCAACCAGTTGGAGTTGCTAGGAGGAAAGCTCGGCTAGAGATTTCTCGATCTCCAATAAGTTCCCCTTGGAGATCTCTCGGCGTGAAGCCAACGTCAAGGCGGCGGAAGGTTGAGATATATTCCATCACATAACCGATACAGACTAGGGGGGCAGGGCACCTTGATTTTGTTTTTTTGGGCCCTTGCGGTGAGGAGGTTTTTTTTTTTTTTTTTTTTTTTTTTTTTAAATTGAATTTTGGACAAAGAGTTTGATGTTCCTGAACAAAATCAAATGGAAATTTCCAACTCATGGAAATTTCAAAGGGAAATTCAAAGGGAAATTCATTGTTTAGGTATGAAAGTTATCAACTTGTGGAAATTTCAAAGGGAAATTCGTTGTTTATGTATGAAAGTTACCAACTTATGGAAATTTCAAAGGGAAATTCATTGTTTAGGTATGAAAGTTTCCAACTCATGGAAAATTCAAAGGAAAATTCATTGTTGTGCACGCAATTAGAGAAAGAATTTGGAAAAAAAGAAAAGAAAAAAGGATGGTGGACTAGTGGCTAGGTCAAGATAGTTTAAAGAAAATAGTGTTGGGAAGAAAGAGTGATAAAAGAAAATAGTATTGGGAAGTCTATACAAATATATCTGAATCTATAACAAAAGTTCATACAAAAGTATGGAAGTCTATAATAAAAGCATATACAAGTTTATTAAAATTTCGGGTAAAACTTATAGGAGTTATATAATTCCAGGAAATCTGTCACTTAAAAAAAAATCTTTCAAAATCGTATACAATCCTAATTGAATACACGCCCCTCAATAGAGGCTCCGAATCCTAAAATAAAACAATGAGTTAGAATATTGAAGAATCCCAAGCCTCTGCATACGAGCTCTGTGCATTTACTCTCATTTCAGTTAATTTGAGCCACTAGATCTAATCACTTAACACAAGACAAGTCATATTTTATTTCCAAAAATTTAGGCTAAAAGTCACTTTTGGTCCATGTAGTTTGACACTTCAACCACTTTTGACAATGTAGTTTCGTATTTGTAGCAATTCAAGAAAAAATTAGTATTCATGTTAATTTCTTTGACGGCGCAAGGGGCAATTTCGTCAACTCAAAATCCTTGAGCATAAAAGCTCGTCTAAAACTCCCATAATTTCATATTAGGGCTTGAAATTGGTCATTTGAGTTTAGAGTTCTTCAAAAATTGGGATTAGTAGTTGAATTTCGAGTCCTAATATGAAATTGGGAGAATTTCAGACGAGCTTTTACATTCAAGGGTTTTGGGTTGACGAAATTGTCATTTGCATCGCTAAGAGTATCTCCAAGGGATATGTTAAATACCAAACATCAAATTTAAATTTGATGGCGGATGTGGCAATTTGAAATCTTATATAGCTTTACACTCCACCCGATATGTCAAATTAAATTATTATTTATTACAATTTAGTGTTGATTTATTTTTAATTAAAAAGAAAAGAAAAGAAAAAAATAATAAAATATTCATTTGACATCTTGCTTTTGGGATGTCAAAAATAACATCTCAACCTCCAGCCTTCATTCCACGTCATCTTTGACACATCGGTTGGAGTGATGTCCTTTTTTTGGTCAAATACTAACATATCCTTGAATTGTTACAAATACGAAACTAAAATGGCAAAATTAATGGAATTGGAACTATAAGTCAAAAAGTAATTGAAGTGTCAAACTACAAAGATCAAAAGTGACTTTTGGCCCAAAATTTAAACACGTTAGAGCGTGTTTTTCTTCTCTCTCCCGCGAGCGAGCGTGCTTCTTTCTTTCTTTTTCTTAAACTTTTTTCTTCCTGTTAATTGGGAGCGTCCTGTTTGGGAGAGTTCTGTGTGGTGCAATCATCTAACTTAGTCGGCTGGTTGTGTTGCAATAGCATTGAGGTTAGTTTTAACGTGATTCCTCCTTCTGTCGTGAACGTGTTTATTTACTTTTTTCTTCCTGGTTTGGAAGCGTGTTTCTTCATGGTTTGGGAATTCTTTGCGGTTCTATAATCCAATTTAGTCTTATGGTTGTCTTGCAACAGACTTGCGGCGAAGTTCATCGCCAATGTACGATTTAAACGGACATAATTTTTGGTGGTTTTATAGTTTAAATGGCTCACAATTTGTTTCTGCTCAGAACATGTTTGATAAAATGTCTTGCTCAAAAGGTATGCATTTAAAAGAATTTCTCTCTTTCTTTGACTATGGTGGAGAGCAGTGTCAGTGAGGGCTATGTATTATTTGTTTGCTAGAATTCTTGTTTTGGACATAAGGAATTCAAAAATATTAAATAACTGATTCTGTCTTTTTTGGGTCAATAATTAACTTATCCAGTCTTTTCTTTGACTATGCTGAGAAAGCTGATGCCTGGATCAGCAAATGAAAGTAGAAATAGTGCTTGAAAGTTGAAACAAGGGAGGGAGGGTTATGTTTCCTGTATGTTCATCGGTATCACCATCATCATTGATCATTGTAAGAATATAATCTTTTTAAGATTTGTTGCTCAGATGGATATTAATGATTTTCTTTTATCTATTATGCAAATCTTCATTTTCTTCTTTAGCTATATATCTTGACCACTGACTAATTGGAAGCATAGCGGCTTATATAAGTTGCAAAACATAGAGGGCTAATATACAAACCTATAAAATAAATACATATTTCACATGTACAAGGCTCAATTTTATGGTCATCTACATGCACTCGTCTGATTGATTAAGTTGATTCTTTCCCTTGATTTAGAGGATCAGTTGTTTAGCTTCCTTTTAATTTGGATATATGAAATGATACTATACATAAGATGTGCCTAAGTTTAATTGATAATTGATAATGGTTTCTAAATTATCATCGATCATGCTCTTCTTAGATGCAAGTACAGATGTTCCCCCAACATCTCAAGTTACAAACTTTTTTTCCTCCTTTTTCATGCAGCAAAAATGTTGTGGAAGCATATGTGCAATTACAGTCCTTGCAAAAGGCCGAGTATTCCCTGAAGTGATACAAGGCATCATAAACATGTCTTCCATACAAGAACTTCATTGCCCCTCTGGCTCAGTGTAATCATTTTTGAGTTTGTAATTTGCTCTTAGGTGGCAAAGTGGTTAGATCGTTTGAGTGGCTTAGATTAACCGAAATGAGGGTAAATGCACGGAGCCTAAATGCAGAGGCTCGGGATCCGCAAGGATGAACACACAACTTCAATGGATAGAAGAAAGAAACATGTTGCTCCAGAAAACAAATCCCCCAAACTTTAACGTCCTCTTCAACGCCATTGAATTTTCTGAGCCTCTCGTTACATTTGGACAACCCAATAATTCTCATCCCATGTTGCCTCAAACCACACCACTTTCACAGCAAAGTTCTCAACATTGCCATCCAAACTATTCTCTAGATAATGTTACCTATACAAAATTGATCCAGTACTCTACCAAAACTGGGTCTTTAGTCCACGGCAAGCTTGCTCACGCCCACATGGTGAAAACTTGTTTTAAGCCCTGCCTGTTTTTGTTGAACAATCTTCTTAATATGTACTGCAAGCGTGGAGAATTGGATAGTGCATGCAATTTGTTTGATAAAATGCCGAAGCGTAATGTCATTTCATACAACTCCTTGATTTCTGGATATACCCAGGTGGGTTTGTTTGATAAGGCAATGGGTGTGTTTAATGAGGCAAGAATGGCTGGTTTGAAACTTGATAAGTTTACCTATGCGGGTGCTTTGTGTGTGTGCGGTCAAACTTGTGACATTGAGCTAGGTAAGCTGGTTCATGGCTTAATAGTCCTTAGTGGGTTGGGCTCAGATGTTGTTTTGACCAATTCTCTTATGGATATGTACTCAAAGTGCGGTCGGGTTGATCATGCCAAGATTTTGTTTGAGAATTCTGATAACTTGGATGATGTCTCATGGAATTCCTTGATTGCTAGTTATGCTCGAATTGGTGCTAACGAGGAAACATTGAGAACTCTGGTGAAAATGCATCAACGTGGTTTCAGCTTGAATACATATACACTGGGAAGTGCCCTTAAGGCATGCTGCAAAAATTTTGATAATTCAGAACTATTTGGGAAATTACTTCATGGCTACACGGTCAAACTGGGGTTGGACTTGGATGTTGTTGTTGGCACAGCATTGCTTGATATGTATGCAAAGACCGGTGATTTAGGTGATGCGATTCAAATATTCAAAGTCATGCCTTACCGTAATGTTGTAATGTATAATGCCATGATTGCTGGGTTCCTCCAAATAGATACGTTTTCTTATGAGCATGCAAATGAAGTGTTCAATCTTCTTTCTCAGATGCAAAGGCTAGGAGTTAAGCCCTCAACATTTACTTTCTCAATAATACTTAGAGCTTGTAAGTCGGTTGAAGCTTTTGAGTATGGGAAGCAAGTTCACACTCAAGTCTGCAAGTACAACCTGCAGGGAGATGAATTCATTGGAAGTGGACTTATCGATTTCTACTCTTCATTGGGTTTATTTGAGGATGCTTTGAAATGCTTTAACTTAACTCCTAGGCTAGATATTGTCTCATGGACATCCATGGTTGCAGGTTATATTCAAAATGGGGAAACTGAAAGTGCATTTGATTTATTCTATAAACTCTTGGCATCTGGAAAGAAGCCTGATGAATTCATAATATCGAGCATGTTGGGTGCATGTGCTAATTTGGCTGCAGCACGGTCTGGAGAGCAGATCCAAGGATATGCTGTAAAAGCTGGCGTCGGGAAATTCACTATTGTTCAAAATTCACAGATTTGCATGTATGCAAAATCTGGCGACATTGATTCTGCTAATTTGACCTTTACAGAGACAGAGAATCCTGATGTGGTGTCCTGGTCCGTAATGATCTGTAGCAAAGCGCAACATGGATGTGCATGGGAAGCCTTGGAACTTTTTGAGTTGATGAAGAATTGTGGAATTGCACCCAACCACATCACGTTTCTTGGAGTTCTGACAGCATGCAGTCATGGAGGGCTTGTAGAAGAAGGTTTACGGTAGGATATAGATTAGAAGTTAAATTCCTTTGCTTTCTGTTGTTTGGTCTGAAATGAGATTGGAAAAGATAAGGAAATGAGATAAAATAACTCCATTTTTCTTCAAACTTTCTGCACAAAATATGTGCAGTATGATACGAAATACATATACAGTTAAAACTTCCCTTCATTTTCGTTAAGAAACCAAATACAAACAAATAAAAATTTCCCTCCATTTTACTTTCCCACTTTTCTTGTTTTTCATTCCTTATATTATTTTTTTGAAAGTGAAACAAACTTTGTATTTTCCTTGTTGCTTTTCGGTGGAGGAAACTGTGTTTTATGTTCAGAACTTGGTGATGGTTAATATTCTGTAGGTAAGAGACCTGAATTTGGGACTTGGTTGGGAAGCTAATAGGTGATAAGTTGCAGGGGATTGAAATTAACAATAGCACAAGGTGATTCATCTAGAATTAATGAAGGAGAGAATCGATGGAGCTTTTTGAAAAATGTACTGTTTTGAAGTCTTGAACTGCTAGGAATTAATTTAGGATTCAATGGGAGTCCTTACCAGAGATATATGCCATATTTGAAATCTATTTAGTTGTTTCTAGATCATCACATCAGGTCTTTTGATTTACAACCCAATACTTGGTTTATAAAAATGACACTCTTGTAAATGCACTTTAAATCCTCTCAACCAGAGTGAGTTAATATCCTGATTTTTACCTTGTTTAGTTCAGTAGGAATAAAAAGGTTCTTGTTAATGCAGATATTTTGAAATCATGAAGAATGATTATGGCATGACAACCAATGTACAGCACTGTGCCTGCGCTGTTGATCTCCTGGGTCGTGCTGGAAGGCTACTGGATGCTGAAAATTTCATTTTCAACTCAGGTTTTGAGGACAATCCAGTTATGTGGCGAGCCTTGTTGAGTGCTTGCAGGGTTTATAAAGACACTGTTGCTGCAAAACGTGTTGCAGAGAAACTAATTAATCTTGAACCTCAGGCTGCTGCATCTTATGTTCTTCTGTACAACATTTACAATGATGCTGGCATAGAGTTACCAGCCAAAAAGATCAGGGAGTTGATGACAGATCGAGGAGTTAAGAAGGAACCTGGTCTAAGTTGGATAGAGGTAGGAAACAAAGTTCATTCTTTTGTTAGTGGTGATCAATCTCACCAAATGATCCAATTAATTTATGTTCGGTTGGAAGAAATGTTGGGTAAGATAAAGAAAATAGGTTGTATGATGACTTCTGGACCTGAAATCAAGGACAGAAAAGTGGTATACTACCACAGTGAAAAGTTAGCTGTAACTTTTGGAATAATCAGCTTGCCACAATCAGCTCCAGTGAGGGTGATGAAGAACTTGAGAGTCTGCTCTGATTGCCATACAACAATGAAGCTCTTCTCAGAGGTGGAAAAAAGAGAAATAATCCTAAGAGATCCAATTCGTTTTCATCATTTCAGAGATGGTGCTTGTTCTTGTAGAGATTACTGGTAGCCGCATTCAGAATGTATTGAGATTACATTCTTGGATAAATGCTCTCTTGTGGTCATCTGGATTCTGGAGACAAATCTTTTCTCTACATATTTAATAGGAAGTACAAGAGTCCTTCAGTCAAAAGAATTAGAATAGCTGGATCCTTTTTGGAAGATGGTACATGAGATAACATTAAATAGGAAGCTAAAAAGAGTCTGCTATGAAAAACCAGTTTTGCTTCCTCTGTACACCAGTTTGGACTTATCTGTACGCCGGATGATCAAGTATGTCAAAGGAGTCAGGTATATTTATAATTTATTGACCTCAATGATTGTCTTTTATTTTTAATAAAATGGAATATGCGAGAAAGGGTTTTTGCCTTCGCTCACTTTGTTTTGATATAAAATTGTTCCACTGAAAAGTTCTGAGTTGCCTTTTTGCCTTTTAATGTTTGTTTGAACATATTAGCAAGTTCTTAGTCTGTGTAGGAAATGTTTTCTTTGCATTGTTTTGAATTTTGCGTTGTTTACTTTATCTGTTAAAACCTCTTATCTTGTTTCCTCTTCCAGCCCTTTCATTTATGATCGGGAATGCTAGGTAGAGATGCAATTGGTGGACTTCTTGGTAGAGAAGCAATTGACCTTGGAACTGTCTCATCTATGTCAGGTAACTTTTACTCCTATGAGATTAAGATGGTGAAAAGGAGGGTCCAAACTCTTTATAACAACAGTTGGACATATTCACAGTCATTTGTTCCTTGAATATTTTAGAAAAGTAACATTCAGGTGGTTAACTTCAGTAGATCTTTGGAAACTTTCTAAAGCCCCTGGTTTGTTACCTCCCTACAACACTTTACATATGATGGAGATGCTTGTTGAGATTGATCGTCAAACACTTTAGCTTGGAACCTTCTTGTACAGCCGTGCTCATGTGAGGTATGCGACTATTTCTCTGATTTCACAAAAGGCATGTGATTCAATCCTTAATTTAACTTCTCGAGGAAATCTCTGTCAATCTCAATGTGTTTATTCATTCTTGTTGAACTAGATTATTAGGAACAATAATAGAAACCATATTATTATATATAGCCTAATTGGTCTGTCGCAAGAAAATACCAAGTCATTCATTGACATTTGGAGTATAACTTCAAGTGACTATGGCTAGGAAAGTGTATTCCTTTGCCTGGAGCAGGCTTCACGTTTCTCAGGGTACTAAACAACCTCTAGGTGGAGAGCACATCGGTCATGCATGAATTCGCTAGCAATTCTTACCACATACGCTATGTTTGGTTATGCCTGAGAGACACATATCAAACTTCCCACAAGACTTTGATCCAGTTGACTACCTCTACCAGTTCAAGTACTGACGATTTGCTTCAATGGGAGAGTTTGCTGGTTTGAAACCTAAAATACCAGACTACTCGGCCTCTTCTCAAATATCGAGAATGTACTTGTTCTGATAGATGAAAATGCCTTTGTCAGATCTGGAATCTGCTGTTCCAAGAATTTGTAAATTTCCAAAATGTTTAGTTTCAAGCTCCCTGGCTAAAGGGGCAATCTAAATGCTTCTTCCGAATCCTTTCTTGTCACCACTTTAACCTAATAACACAATGCTTATTCTGGTTTTACAATAGCAATGTACAAGAATGGGATCAAATGTAGATTTCTCCCTGCCACTAGTGTGAGTATTGTGTATTCTAACAGTAAACAAGGTTGAGCAAATAATCCTAGTAGTAAGTTAAATATCCTTTTACAAGGTTGTGTAGAGAAATTTTACCTTTCATGGATAAAATACAAATTTCATTGTTCAACTGAATTCGTTCGAAAAATTAAATGTTGAATTTTTTAAAAAGTAATCCTGTTTAATTATATACCATAGTTGTTCTTTTTCTTACCAATTATATGAAATATCTATATCCATGAAGATGTGAAAATTAAGAGCAGTAGCATGGTTGATTTCTTGCAGCATTGGATTATCTCCCTTTATATCCTTCTCAAACGCAAGTTCCGAAAGCATCCCCGTTACTTCTTTGTATTCTCAAACATGGGCAAAAATAAAATTAAGCATGAATTAATTTCTCATGAACCAAACAGGAGAGTCACCTTCAAGAAGCGAAAGGCAAGTCTGTTCAGAAAGCTGACTGAGATAACAACCTTATGTGGGATTATTGCCTGTGCTGTGGTCTATGATCCTTCTGATTCCAAGATGGATGCGTGGCCTTCTCCACCAGAAGCGTTTTATGTACTGGAAAATTTTAAGAAATTACCCGAACAAAGACGAGGACAATTTATGATGGATCAAAAAGCCTTTCTGAAGAAAAATATATCCAGGCTGAATGGACAATTGGAAAGAGCCAGATTTAAATATCAAGCACTTGATGCTGAGCTACTTCTGATTGAATACCTGGAAGGTAAAAATTTGCGTGATTCTAGCCGTCTCGGAAGTTTGTTAGCACTAGAAGATCAACTGGCTAAAAAAATTAGTTTCATTACTAATAGGATTGCGTTCGTGGAAGGTCTTGAGCCCAATGAAGTTGATGCTGAAATTAATTCTGATGAGATGGGGGATCAAGGCTAATTTAGTGTCTTTAGAGGGAAGCAGTAATAAAAGCTCTTCAAAATAAATGTTGTGTTGTGTGGAGGAAAGAGGCAGTGCTGGTGATACAGGTATTCTTATTTACCTGTACTGTCCCAAAATGTACTTTTCTCCTTTTCTGCTTCAAATATCAATTCTATTCTCTTGGCAATCATCAGTTGTATCGTCATATTTGATGACCATATTTTTACCCTTCTGTTGATTTGAACCTATCAAAGATATGCTTATACCTTGCTGAGCCTCCTGGTTGGGAGGTGGTCTTTTTATGGTACAAATGGTTTGCTTTTACAATGAGTTTTATTGCAATTATATAAGACGAAAGGTTGTATGTTTGTCAAAGATAAAATCCCGAATACAAAAGCAAGTAGAGTGTAGCATTATCCGTACATAATATACACGTATCGATCGGAATCCATGTGTGTCACAGTGCCAGAAGTTATAAAGCATCAAAAGGAATACAAATAAACATGATCAAAACAAGCATCATCCTAACTGTGCAGGCGCTGGGCGAGGTACACAAGATGCCAGCTCAGAGACATTAGCGACATGACGTTAAGCAACGACGAATACGAGTTTAGCTTCTTAAGCCTCTCCCGCATCTCGTCGAGCCTATCAGTATCAGCGTGAGCTACCTCTTGCTCCCTTCTTTCAGTGACTTGTGAGGCAACCGTGGTTGTGGGTTCGACTTCAGCGGTAATTGGTTGCTGTTCAGCCTCGCTGCTGACTCTGGTACTAACATGTACTCTTTCTCTTCCTTCTTCCTTCTCCATCTTCATTCTCTCAAACATCACCTGCACCACACATGCTTGGAAATAAGAGAACAAAAAACAAAGAAAGCAACAGTGAATGCGAAACCAAACCAATTTCACTTTTCCTGCTGCATCAAAACCTTGAACACCTATCGAAGTCGTAGTAATGTTTCATGGAAAGGAATTTGTAGACAAATATTGTGAACAAGACATTAGAATGTACTGTTTCATTGAATTATGGGAGTCCCCAAATTCTGCTTCATCTGAGATGAGGTACAGATAAACAAACACAAATACAGGGTCCTTTGACTTAAAGTATCTTTTTCTTTTGGTGAGACCTTTGCCTTAATTGACATTGAGAGGTTTCTAGGTCATCATGGCATAGTCTCATCTTTCTTTTCCATAGATTACATGGCCAACACAAATTGCAATGCACAGCTTTTGTCCCACTTTAGACAGACTAGAGAGTCGTCTCTAGGGCCGACAGACCACAATGAACAAACCACACAATTAATAATCATGCTTGTGAAGGGGATCGATCGTATAAACAAGTGAATCGTGAGCAGGATACGAAAGCCACAAAATATACAAGAAAAAATAATAATAAAAAAGCTACCTTGGTGGATCGAGGCTCCAAGTATAACATATTGGCAAAAATCATCAACAGGGCGGCCATAAGATTAAAGTTCTGCAACTGCAACATATTCCCTGTGAACTTTTTATTTCCGTGTCTCCAAAGATGTCCCAACAACGCCATCCCAACACTAGAAGCCATGGCCCTGAAATAAACCCTGTAAATTTTGCTCTGCACCATCCCAAACTGCTGCGGTGCCAAATTTCCCAACAACACGTGGCTTGAAACGAACGTAATCCACATGCACGTCCCATAAGCAGTGGCCAAACCAAACAAATTAGCCACAGACATCAAAGAGTCCAAAGCATCACTCAATCCCGTAGACCGCAGGGCACCGTACCAAATCTCTCTCCCTTTGCTACCCAGTTGATGAAACCTCTTCTGGGTCCCACTCTCGAGCTCCTCTGCTCCAGTCTTGACTTTCTCAGCAGCATGCTCTGCAGTCTCTTTGGCCTCTTGAGCTTTGCTTGCCAAGTCTTCGCACAGGTTCGACGCGTTGCTCTTTATATCCCCGGCCAAGGTCTCCCCCATTTCCCTGGCCGTGTTAGCGGCGCCCTTCGCTTTTCCCACCGAGTCCTTGGCAATTTCCTCAACCTCATGGGCTTCATCGGACACCGTTTCTTTCGCCTTTTCGTATACATTCCCCACTGCCTCGCCCGTCTTCTCGTACGCACTTTCCACCGCCTCCCCGACCTTATGTGCCGTCTCCTTCGCCCCGTGCACGGTCCCCTTCACAATCTTCTTCTTCATCTCGAGATCCCTTGCAATCTTGTGCTTGCATTTTCCATACGCGTCGCATATAAGCTCTTTCGGGCTGTAACCCTCTCCAGTGGAGATGCCTTGGCCGAGGTTGGGGAGAGCAGAGGCCGCTTCCTTCATGTTGTCCATAGCTTTTTCGAATGCCCTCGAGACCATAGAGGGCGACGACACGTCATTGTCCGAAATGGAAGAATCCTTGTCGGCTTGACGGTCTTGGTCCGATGAGATTGAGACTTTGGTGATGGGATGGCCATGCTCGTCATACTCCACGACTACAACCCGGTGCCCATTTTTCACTATAACCTCCCTCTGATGATCTCCTTGCTTCTTCTGCTGGTTCTGATTATCATTTTGTGGGCTCGGAGACCACATTCCAGCGCTGGCCAGCGAGCTCACAACCAGGAAGACTGCCACAAAATTCATCATTTTTTTCTGTTCCTTCAATATCTTGGTGGTTTCTTTCTTGGTCGTCAGTTTCTGAAGATCACAAACAAATTGGAGGTACGAAATTTGTACTTGGATCATTTGCAAAGGCCGTGCGTGGCGGCTTGACACGTACATATAGTGTGTGCACGTGTCAACTTGCATGACCACTTTGAATTGTGCGTGTCGACAGGACAATGTTAGGCTCCTTTTTCTGGGATTCAATTCGTAGCTCAGCTATTGGCCCCTCCCTCCATTGGTACCTATCTTGTTTTTAATCGGTGCATGTCTTGTTTATATTTTTCTTCATGCCATACTTTCGACAGAAACATAACAAACAAACCTTGCGAATTGAACATGTTTTGGATGCAAAAAACATCATCCAGAGAAATCCGAGAGCAGCTGAAGCAAAAAGAAAATATTATATCAACAACACATTAAATTTCGATGCGTGCATACATGTACATGAATACTACATTTACACTCTCTTCTTCTTTTATTTCTCCATGAGAAACGGGCCGAAAGCGAAACGAACATAAAAAATAAACAGGAAACAGCTTTGGACTGAACCTTCCTAGGCCATGAAGAGTCCAAACAACAAAGTGTTTCTCGTTTACAGCCCAAGTTGGCATTTACAGCGTTCTCTTCCTTTTCCCTTTATTTGGATGAATGAATTAAAAATGGGAGACTTTGGAAAAACACAAAGGAGAGAGAAATTTTGTAAAAGAAGCCAAAATGGACAAAATTGTCCTTATTTATTTTTGAATTTCCTAAGGAATCCTTTACATTTGCATGTCTTTGATTTGAAAGTTGAGAGGTTTTTCTGTCTTTTTTGAAAAAGCTTTGGCTTTTTCCAGAAGTGAAAATTTTTTTTTGGCTAAAACCTAAATTTACTATTAAAAAATTACATAGAATTCTAAAATGACGGAATTTAGATTTCCATCATTTCAATTTTTGGCAATTGAAAATTTCAGTACTTGAATTTATGTATGTCGAATTTTGTAAATTACATAATTTTGTAAATGACAAAATGAAAATTGTGAAATGACACCTATTTTGGTAGAAATTAAATTCAGGAATTTGATGCCATAATTTCCATGATTTTTTCTATGTGTCATTTAATAAATTCCACGGTTAAGTTGCTAAATAAGGGAATTATCAATTTTAACTAAATTCTCAATTATTTTCCTTTATCCAAACAAAAGAGCTTCCATTCAATTTCCCTAAATAAATGATTTATTTGTTTAACATCAACAAAGTGTTTATCGACAACAACCTCATCCACCATTCAATGTCACGTCAACCCATCACACCACACCACACTACACTACACTAGATCACAACAATTATTATTTTATAATAATTTTTTTTTCTATGAGTTGTAATTAAATTTTTTATTTGTTTGCACACGCAATGTTTCACTTGTGACTTGTCCTTGTCCACAAATATCCAATGGCATGCCCCAACCTTACACCATGTAGGCCCCCTCTGTTTGATGTAAAAACAACCCAAGGGATCGATCCAAATCCTCTGCTTTGGTTCTCTACATCATGATTTGCTTGATTTTTATGCTTCACACGTCATTTTATTAAAATTTAATCTAAGAAACTTAAAAGTTGACATATCATTCTAAAAATAAAAACTCAATTTACTACTAATTGAAAAAGGAAAACAAAAAACCATAACCCAACTAATGTGAAGTTAACGTCCCAAGTCCCCCTTTTTTTTTTTCCCCTTCTTCCGGCTTTGTTTTGGAAAGTTTGTTGATTGATCAGTTATGCTTGTATGATATATGGTTTTCTATGATATGGATTAAATGTTAAATCCATGAATGTTTGAATTTATGTATTCTTGCAGAATTGAACTGTGAAAAGAAAGATGATATACGATATATGGATGGTTTCTCAATAGGCATAAAAGAAATTTTTCATGAACCTTGTCTGAATGGAAACCTATCCTTTTGTGTATTATGTTATAGTATAAAGAGATAAGATTATGTATTGGGTACTACGTTTACATTTTTGTGATCTTTTTGCTAATATTGATCCATTTTTGTGACTGAGTTTCTTATTAATGATATTTTATGTCGTAATGGAGTTTAAATTTTGAGTTTTAACTATGTTGAGTGATCAAAGCGGTGCCCATATATTCATTCCTTAATGTTCGTCTAAGAGAACTACTGCTTCATGTATATGCATTTACTCTCGGGAAATCCTTTTTTTCTACAAGTTACAACCACCCTCGTCAAACAATGTATATGGGAAAAGAACCATTTTTTTGGGAGCAGGGAGGTAATAAGGAGGAAAAAAAGAGAGGAAAGAATGTGAGGAAGAAGGAAAAAAAAGAGGACTAAGGAGGAGCAAAAAGAGAGAGGATATAACGTGAGGTAGGAAGGAGGAAAAAAAAAGACTCAAGGACGTAAACTTTCGTGTTAGTTGGGTTAGGGTCCCTTTAAAAAGAAAAAAAAAATAGGAGTAAATTGGGGTTTTGTTTTTAGGATAAAAGTCAAGTAAATCATGGCAAAAAGAATCAAAGCAGAGGATCTAGATTCAATCCGAATCCAAATTTATGTGAACTATAGACTTGATTCCACTTTACCCTCTAAACTTTAAATTTGGTTTTGAGCTCCCTTAATCTTTCAAAGGTGGTTACTGTGTCCCATTTCGTCAAGTTTGTCGATTTATTTGTCAAATTAAGGGGTATTTATGTTCATTCAAGTTAGAATTTGGTTTGAAAATGGGGTCTAAAAGGAATAATGATCGAATCAATTAGGGTGGGTAAAAACAACCATAACTTGAATGGATAGAAACGCTCCTAAACTTGACGAAGGAATTAACAAACTTGACAGAAAAGGTCACATTGACAGTTTTTGAAAAATTAGGGGGCTGAAAACCAAATTGAAAGTTCATATGGCAAAGTGGAACAATATCTATACATCGAGGACATTGCTAAAATTTTATCTTTTTTTTAAGGTTTGGCAACTTGTGTGTTTAACAAGAATTACCGCCTACTTAATAAATTTGGTATTTGCATGAAGAAAAAAAAGAAGGTAAGCGGGTAGTATTAATGTAATAATAATTCATTCATTAATGATCACAAGTCAAAGTATCCCAAACGTACGGATACACAAAATGCACTCAATTCACTTCATCCAAAGAACACACCAGTACACTAGCAAAGAAAATAAAACACAATTACATCTAATGATGATCAATAAAATAGGGTTGGTGGTAGGGTCCACTACTAATAATACTTATTTATTAATAATAAAATTTTAAAAATGGTGAAAAAGACGCTGTAGACCCCGAAACGCTGAAGACTTTGGTGATACCACACCGCCACCATGTGGGTCCCAGGAGCAGCATTCCATGAGCAAGGAGGAGGAGAGTGCGGGGCCCGGTCCCACCAGCATGTGGGTCCCACGGAGTCAGAGAAGGAGGCGCAGTCAGAGTGGGTCCCCACTGACACTGCCCACCCTCCTTCCTTCCCTCCTCCAGCTGCCTATCACATCATCCTCCTGTCTCTGTCTCACTGTCCCCCTCTCCCTCGTCCTTCTCCCTCTGTAAAACAAAACAAACCAATATTATTTTCTTATTTTCTGTTTTATAATTTATTTATTTATTTTTTGTATTTTTATAATTCCTATGCTATGTTACGCTAGTGAGTGTTACGTTTTGGGTCTACGTCAGCTTCTCTCTCACTCTTTTGGAGGAGAGAAAAGGGGAGGATCCGTTTGGTTGGTCCAACTTTTTGTAGCTTCTTCAACTCAGAAACGAGAGAGAGAACTCAGAAACGAGAGAGAGAGAGAGAGAGAGCTTTGAGGGTCTCTCTGCGTGTCTTGCTTTGTATGCTCTGTCAAACCCTAATACTGATTCCTCCGTCACCAACACCACCATGAGATTCGTCTTACAGGTCCGTTTCTTCCTCAATTCTTCACCCTTTATTTGTTTTTCTTTCATTTCTTTCTGTGTTTGAGCTTTGTTGTAGAATTTTCTGTTTGGAGGTATTGGTTGGTTTAATGCCTTTCTGGGTCTCTGTTCATTTCTGGGTCTGCAATATTTTCATTTTTGAATCTCAATTTTAAGCTCCATTTGGGTTTTTCTGCTGATTTTCCTGCCTTCCCATGTTGTCTTTGTTTGATTGCTTATAAATTGCAAAGTGATTAGAAAACCATGGTAATAATATTCTAGTGGTTTTTTTAGGCAAGGTTTATTTTCATGGAGTCCAGCCATTTGTTGTCAGGGTTGAAAACTTGAGCTCAGATTCCTACATTTTTTTGTTTTCACTAACCAGATTGGATTTTTAAACTGTTCCACAAAAACCAAAAGGGTGGGTGAGAATTCAGGGTCCTACTAAATTAAATTGTGTTTACTTGGATTGGATAGTACAGGGTTTCATAATTTTGCTCTTTTAAATTTTGGTGACTTCAGGGCATTATGCTACTTTCCATGACAGCTTGATTAAGAGACTTTATACATTTCTCTGCAACCAAATTGAGCTTCTTTGATTGGGATGAAGGAAATGCTTTTCTTTTGTGCTTCGTTCACTTTGAATTTTATTATCTCGTACAACCCAAGTGGCTTGACAATTCAATGTTTTTCTATTTTCTTTCGTTCCAATGAATTTTCTATGGAATGAGGTAGATAGTTGTGCAGCAGATAATTCGTAGGTCCAGTGTGACTTAAATGTATATTAAATGTTTCTGTCTAGTGGACTGTAATGTTTTTTAACCATCTTAATCTTTGAGAGATAGCCATCTTATTCTTTTGCATTGGGAAAACTATTCATCCTTAATCTATTGAGATTACTAATTCATGAGGAGCTTAATTCTTGCAGGAGATCCAACTGCCTGTAGCTGGATATTTTGGTTATTAAAACTGAACTTTCCTGTTTGATGACCAAAAGGCCTTCAAATATTTTTGAGTGGGATGGATGCCTATAATGTAGCAACAAGAATCATGAACTTCTAAGCATTCGGTTGGTCACTTATCATCCTTAAATTTGTGTTGGCTTTTTCGCTCAAGGCATCCTGTAGATTTTGGTAAATTGAACTTTGTAAGGCATTCCGTTGATATTCTGCGTGGGTGTTAATGTCACTGAATACTGTTTAGGAGGTAATCATCAGAAACCAGTGGACTACCATATTCTGAGAGGAAGTAAAATGGAAGACAATGTTGGGCACCTCAGTTGTCCCGAAGGGCAAAGTCTTTCAGGGAAGGAAAAGAGCTTATCTGATGTTCTTGGGACATTAAGTGACTCAAATGTGGGATTAGAGAAGCATATACATAAATCTGACCATGAAATTGATGGATGTAAAAGTGAAAAACTTGCTGAAGGAGAAAGGATTGGTCATGTCTCTTCAACTGATTGTACAAAGGATAATGACTATAATTTGAAGCAACAATCTTGTGTGAATAATGCATCCAGTGCTGTACCTCTATGGATTTCCCCCGCAAAGTCCAACATTGAAGTTTCTGCACCTTTTCTGGAGGGAAACGCTTCTACAAAGAAAATTTCCATGAGCAGTGATGGTTGCTTGGACAGTATACAACCCATTGAAACTAATCAGTTGGAAGATAGGAAAATTGATGGATATCCACTAAAAATTGGTGAAAGTGAATTGAGGGCTGCAGTTCAGACATCCTTACATGATAAGCAATGTAAATCTGAGTCTTCTTCTTCCAACTCCACCCAACTCATTCTTCAAGCTTGTTCTAGTGACAGTTGTCAGGAAATGTCGGTTGATAACAAGACATGTAAGAATGTCAAACTTAGTGCCATAGACACTTCCACTTGTACTGACTTTAATATTGAAGAGCCTGCATTTAGAAGTTTAGTACTGGATACTACCAACTTGTCATCTGGAAAACAGTGCAATGTGATTAAGCATTCAGAGCCTATTCACAACATCAGAACAAGGACTAGTGACAAGGTGCCGGATTTAACTTCGGATGATAATTGTGGGACTGTGGAGAATATTAATCAGTTCAAATCTGATCTGCCTAAGAAGAAAGGTGCAGAGATTTATAATCCTGATAGAGCAGAAACTCCCTATGACCTGGATGATGCACTGGATGTGGCTTGGAGAGTTGCAAAAGAAGTAGAGCAGGAGGCTGAGGCTTCTGGAAGCTCCTCTTCTATGGAAGTGAGAAATAGTGATATGGTTCATCTCAGCTATGCTGATTCGACAGACTCTGATAAAGAAGGATGCTTGACAGAAGCTGGATCCATACAGCAGCAGTGCAATGAACAAGATAAGTCTGATAGTTTCTCTTCCGCTAAAGAGGCTGTGGATCTAAAAATGTTGACAAAAAAGGAACAGTTTTGTTTGGAGGAGGCAAAAGAGCCATTGCACGACATGGTTCCGGGAATTAATGACGGCTGTCAGAAACTGGAGCCATCTATGAGACCTGAAGGTTCTGGTGACCAAACTTGTCATGTTTTTGGAATTGATCTTAATGAAGATGTCCTGGAAAATGAAGTAGAACACACTGAGAAGTCAGTCAAAGAAGCTGCATCTATCTGTGAAAATGTGTCGAAGCCAATACCCATGGCTGCCAAATCAGGAATATGCTTACCTGTGCCACAATTTCAAAGCGCTGGGGAACTGAGCGGTTGGAGAGGTTCATCTGCCACTAGCGCTTTTCGACGTACTTCTTTTTCTGAGAGTTGCAGTAGAAATAAGGCATTGTCCACTAATGATACTATTGGCAGCTCAAACTATTCACATGTTAAAGGGATTGACCTCAATGTTGCTGCTGGTGTTGATTTTGATGTTGAGTTGCTGCCAAAGAAATCTATCCCAGCACTGTCAAGTAATTATACAAAAGAGTCTTCTGTGGAAGTGAGTTCCAGACAAGCAAGAATGTTTGATATTGATCTCAACTGTGTCAGTGAAAATGATGAAAACTGCCGTCAATTGTCTCCACCAGCTTCATTATCAAGTCATTCTGTTAGGGATTTTGATTTAAACGACAACCCAATTTCTGCAGATGCATGCATTGATCCTTACTGGCCCTGTGAAGCCACCCGGGCAAATGGTGGTTTTGATGATCCAGCAATTTCTTCTGTGGAAAATTCAAGACAATCAGACTGTAAAAGTTTCAGGTCGTCCTGTTCTCCGCATTTGAGTTCAATGGAGGGATTTAGTCATAGTCATCATGCTAAACCCTTTCTGGTAGCTGCTACCAATATGCTTCCCTCAAACGAACAAATGCAGAGGATAGTTACCCTGGAACACAAGGCAAGCTTTACCCAATCATACCCTCATGCCTTCCTCTATAATAATGGTTTCTACTTTGACCCAAACAACAGCATATCCTCAACAGTTTACCCACCCCCTGCCCTGCCATACATGACAGATCCCCATGCAACCACCGTGATCCCACAAATTCTCGGTTCTGGTACTCTTCCTATGTTTTCTGGGGCCCCACATCTTATGGAGGTTCCTCATGGATCCAGCCCCAGCGACTTTGCTTTCATAAGGCCGACTTTTGATCTAAATGCTGGTGCAAATTGTCCAGAGAATGGAAGCAGAGGAACCAGTGCTAGACAACTCTGCATTCCTTTAAGTAACTCAACAGTGGAAGAACAAATGAAATCTTTCCAGCAAGTTGCATTGACAGCTACTCCCATGAAGAGAAGAGAACCAGACGGGGGATGGGACTCTCATCAACTCTGCCTTAGACAGGCTGCTTCTTGGCGTTAGGTTTACAGAGTTGTCATCGTCTAATTAGAGTTTGCAGAGAAATTTGAACTTTTGATTCGCTACCGGAATTCAATTGTTTAACGTGACTACGGTAGCCAGCGGGGTTTAAAAGGCCAACTTGGCTGCAACAGATATAAGTTGATTTTACATGCTTTTATTTACTATTCTTTGCCATATCTAGCCTTTATGCATACCTAGTTCTCCAAAGGGCCTCTGTATACTTTACATATTTTGTTTATTGAATGTAAATAACTTAGTACTTGCTTATTTAGACAAATATGGTTTTTGTTGTGGAGTTGCTGCTAGTTTACTATACATTTCGAATTTCAACTAATTTTTGACTTGTAGGTTCTTTCTTAGGTTCTTATAAAATAGTTAAGCCTTACTGCAGAACTTGCTTCTCTTCCAATAGTCTCTGGCAATTGGACTTGTGGTTCTATCTAACCCTGAACTTAGTTGAGTCCCAGTTCATTTTTTCACTTGGCACGAAAAGGAAAATTTCAAACAGAGAAATCACTATTATGGACGAAACTTAGAGATCTAATATAGGTCAAATATATAGCCCAATGAACATGGAGGAAATTAAGGTACTTGCCAAATAGCTTGACTTCGACTTCTTAAAAATGTTTTTATTTTTTTATTTAATTACAGTTGAGAAAATTCATTAGTAGAATAAGAGATTATATCCAAATTTGAAGCAAGAGCAAAAAAGTAAAGAAGACTCTTCTTCTACTTAACGTTAACTCCTCATGTTCTAATGTAAGATGGGAATCTATGTTTTCTTCTTTTTTGTGAGGCAAATATATAAGATTACATTGTGTTATTTGGACTACAAGAATAGTAAGACGAACTCCTAATTACACTCAAATAGGTCAACTATACAAATTAGGTAACAAGTTTCTACTTATAATTATATACAATTCCTGATCACACTCCCCCTCTAGTTGGTGTGAAGATATCTCGCAATGGCGGAGCTAGAGTCTGTATATTGAGGGGGTCAATAGCTGAAAAGTATATGAATAATATACAGATTTCAGATTTTATATAAAACTTCAAAGTAGCTTTTGAGAATTAAGGGGGCCACATTCACTTCTGGCCCGAGTGTGGCTACGCTCCCGCATGCCCAACTTGGCAAATAAGTTGTAGAACACTCTATTACAAACGAAAATACAATTATTTTTGTTTCTAACTTATGCTTGATGAAATGCCAATCAACCTCAATATTTTTTTGTGCAAAAATGCTGCATTGGATTGTGTGCAATATTAGTGGCGGCCTTTTGTTGGGCGGGCGATCAAGGCTAATTTGGGTGATCGATCCACACAACTTGATTCTCAATAGTACCATCCTCTGTGTGATCCGACCGGTCGGGTGTAGATGCTCGTCCAGTGGGTGCTTCACTATAATTAGCCACTTCACACTTTTGTTTGAACCAACCAGCAGTTTCGGAACCCCCCCCCCACCCCCCAAAAAAAAAAAAAACAAAAAAAATAAGTAGTAGATGGATGACTAGTAGGTTTGTCATGGCAATCCGTCACTTCCCTTTCTGT